TATTCTTACAAATGTACTATTTTTATTAAATAATTCTAAATTTATTTATTCAATTTTGTTGAAATTCATCAACACCGTGGAGATAAGGCTCGTGGATTGAGATTTGACGCCCAATTTATAGAATAGCGGATTTTGATTCCGAAGATATTATGCAAATAAACAAACTTGATTTGTGTTTTTCGATCCTTTTTCAAGTGATATATTACAAAAGATTCTTTATAGCTATAAAAAGAATTGATGGTGATAATAACAAATAATGAATTGAAATTTTAGTTCTAAAATAGCTACCAACAATTCTGGTAGCATTCATTGAAAAATTTCTGATTGCATTTTCGTCATCATACTTAGTTAGCAGGAATTTTTAGATAAAAGTTTGATGAACAAAATAGACGATCATGGTGATTTTAGATTACTTTTAACAAAAATTAAGCTGAATTGGTAGCAGCAACACCAGATTCATCCCTCACATTAAAATTAAAATTTTGTATCTTTATTCTGAATATAGTTTTATAATTTCAGAATTTGATGTTATTTTACAACCTTTTTTTTAAAGAGTAAAAGATTAATTTTAATAACGTTTATTATTTTAACAAATAAATGATCAAATGTTTTGCAAAACGTTTCCGTCAGCAGTGATGTACCAATTACAATAGCATTTCATTACAATTATACCCGTAATATATCTGTAAAATTCAATATAGTGACTTGCGTGCCTAGAAAATTTCAAATTCACTGATGGTGCAATTTTTTCCGAATGTTTTATGATTTATTAAAATAGTATACTCTATCAAAATTTGTTTCTTATTCGTCATTTATCTTTTACAGATACAATAATTTTTATATGTGCTTTATTAATTCCTATTGAAATGAAAAAAAAATAGGGGGGCGCTGAGTAATATTTTTTCTGAAAAGGGGGCGGTAGTTGAAATGAATTTGGGAATCACTGATCTACGTCATTCTGTAACACAATGAAACTGTTCACTTCACGTCCGCGAACGTGTTAATGCTTTCCTATTTTGGGCTCACATAACATTTTCAACATAGTTAACCCAACGCATAACCATGAAGATTTAAACTACTGCTGTATTTGATTATTTTCCTAAAACAATATTACATTTCAATTAGGTTGGTTCAGACCGCAAATCTTTTGTAGCTGTGCAACAGATTCCGTGCTTCGGAATGCAAGTCTTTTATGCCAAAGGTCAAAATCATATAAAGGAGTGGCGTAATGCAGATGACGTTGATTTGCCAGTTGGTCAGTATCAACCAATTAATGCTTGCTTAATTATTTCTTATATGTAATAATGGTCGACTTTATTTAATTAGATATATACGATATGAACGTCGATATGGACGACGAGGCCCTTGATGATCTTTTACTAGAAATCGAGAAATTTCAAAGTAGACTCACGTAAGCATTTTTGAAATTTAAATTGTAAAACTAAATATTCATTTCTGACATATAAAAAACTGTTATTAATATTATATTTTCACTTTTAGGGCTCCTAAAGGATTCAGCAGAGAAAGTATGAATGTTTTCGACAAGGGCCGGATGTTCGAAACAGCGTTTGATGCAGGCCAAAATTTAAACAATTATTAAAAATAATTTTATTTAGTTTAAAGATAGTTAAACATTTTTTTACGTATACTCCAACAAGCGGATAAATACTACATATAGGGTAGAGCGGGGCTTAAAAATCCAGAGATAAAAAGGTCCACCAACATTATCTCAAAAACAAGAAAAGATAAGAATTATTTAACAACAATATTTGAAAGTAGAGGGGAAAAATGTATAACCAGCCCTCGCCTTGATTTTTACGCTGTTGCTTTCGGAAGATAAACGGCAATGTTTGAAAATCCATGACAAAAATATTTTCTTTCGTTATTGTTTTCTTTGGTTGTGAGCACTGTTGTTTAATTTATGAGACTTTAATATAATCTTTAGGTTTTAGTTATTTAACTGTTTTACAGGATGTATTAATAATTTCAAGTTAGATTCATTTTTTTTATATAACTTATATAATAGTTTACACATGGATGGGGTACAAAGTATCAACTTAACCTTTATATCCTGAGCAAAACCGTAAACAATAATCGTGAATAAAAATGTAAAAACAGTTAAAAGAAATGATTTTAGAAAAAATAAATGAAATTAATAGTTATTTCAACTCTGCTGATGAATATTTCTGACAAAATTCCAGATCAAGGTTTTATACAATGTTATCTCTGTACCCATAAAATTTATGATTTGCATTGGTTGAAATTATTTCGTAAAATTCATTTAAAATTAAAAATAGACATTAGACCTATAGCCCCCTGGCCGTGCCATTTTACCCCACCTATGCGGTAAAAAGGACCAGGAGGCAAATTATTGAAAATCAGAAAAAAAACAAATTTCTACAATAATGAAATCAGTAAGAGTTTTACTGAATATAGACAGATAGTTGTTCATTTGATATGTGTTATTTGTTGTGATATAATTGGTTTGGTTTTTACAATATAATTGCTTAAAGCTAAATTGGACCTTAGTACCCCGCCATACCCTATCAGCTATACAAAGCGAGTAGAATGTCAAAAACTGCTTTTAGTTATACAATAATCTCATTTTTATTTGACATTTTATATAGTTAATAAAATATGCACGATAAGAAACACTTACGAATTTTTTTGTGGGCCTACTTCAAAGTGTTCTCGGACAACCGACCTTTCTTAATGCAAAATTTAAAAAAATATTGCTAATTAAATAATTTTTATGTAATATTAATAGTATTACCAAATGAAAAATGTTTGCAAACATGTCCACATTCTCATGGTCAGACGTCAAACGACAAGACAAAAATAGGTTATTCGGCTAGGTGGTTATAGGCGGCGCAGGGCCAGGCAAAACGTGATACAGGTGGGTTATATTCGCCGTTATTATATATTTATAATATTTATTTATATTGAAGTATGTGAATTTGATGTTGATATATATTTTGATGAGTTATTTTGATTCGGGCAGTAACACCAAGTAAAAAAACTAAAGCAGTTGTAAAACGCTTTATTTAACCATAGGTTTCGGTCTTCGTCGAGACCGTTATTCAGTGGAACAACTAAAAGATTTTATAAATAATGTAGGAGAAAAATAATATGAACTAATGATTTTTGACAATTTTTTGTTACATTCTAGTGCAGTGATTCCCAACGTGGGGCGCACGCCCCACCGGGGGGCAATATGGAAATATTGGTGATTTGAATGTAATGTAGTATAGTATCAGTAAAACATTTAACAAAAAATACTTCTTAGATCTAATTAAGGTGTCCCGGTTTGATAATTCGTCTCTATGCAGCTAAAGCAGTGCGATTTCTTCGAAAAAAAGTTTAAAATTTCCAAAATATTTCAAAATAAAATAAACCATTTTTTTCAACAGTTTTTTTTCCAAAAAGTCTTTTTTTTCAAAAATTTAAAATTTCTCAAAAATCTATTTTTTTCAAATATTAAAAAAAAATCTTTTTCTAAAAAAATTAGTTTTTGGTACGCAAAGTTCCAGCCATTTGCCTTAAGGCACGATGCCATACACCACTATTTAAAACCCTTGAATTAAAAAAAAAAATGATGTCAAATTGTGCCTATAATTCAGTTTTTGCTAATAAAAACTATAAGTTTTACAAACGTGGGATAATGATGCTTCTTTGAAGATAACAAAAGGTCATCTATCAAAATGGTAAATACATTACAGAACAATGCTATTTAATTCCACCCAAAAATCTTTAATTTTCTAACAACAATGCGCACTTTGTTGCCAACCCGATAACTACAAATTTCCGTTCTGATTTTAAAATAATAAAAAATGATTTAAATACTGAATTAATTGTGTTTACAATTTTTGTTTGTGAAAGTGTAAAAAGACTGGTAAACATATGTTTTTGGTAAAATAACAAAATAATAAAATACACGCTTCATTCAGATATGGTGGTGTTTTGAAAAATGGATTATTTTATAGTCATTGCAAAGCGAATTGTTGTCTGTTCTCTTATTTATGGCAGTCTCATTGTGTAATAATATTAGGCATCCTTCGCTAAATCATCTTTTAAGTAAGTTATTTTCGAAATGTAGGATCGTGAGATTGAAAAAATCTATGTTATGTTTGAGCTCATTAATGTGATCTGTTAGTATTGTTTTATATTGACTATTTACTTTATATCATTTTCCTCCTACATTATTTATAAAATCTTTTAGTTGTTCCGCTGAATGACGGTCTCGACGAAGACCGAAACGTATGCTTAAATAAAGCTTTTTTACAAGTGCTTTAGTTTTTTTTTACTTGGTGTTACTGCCCGAATCAAAATAACTCAATTTATTATATATATATATATATATATATATATATATATAAGTGTGAATGTATTATAAATCCATTTATTTAAAACAAGCAAGAAAATTCAACTTGATTCCTTGGAAAATATATATGGAAATTACATCTATTAAAGAAACTGACAAGAGTACTTCAAACATGAGTGTAAATGCTACGTGAATATTATATCAACATTGAAGATCATCATTTCCAATTCTATCAATAAACAAGTTAAACATGAATCATATTTTATCATAAAATCTGTTATAATGAATATTAAATCTCAGTATGGTTATTTAAAATAGTATTATGTCATCATTTATATTGAACGGTATGTAAGCAAATTTTGTAAATAAAAATAATATTCAAACAAATTTCTTGGAATATTTAGATGTAAGGTTAAACCATAGATAAAAGGAGAGTATAAAATGGGTTAAACGTACACTATTCCGGGATAGTACATTATCCCGAGATTTTTCCATTTTGATCGCAAGATAAGAAAACGGTCGGAAAATAATAATCGCCATTCTGTACTTGCTTGTTAGCTAGTTAGGTTCATGTGACGGTTCGTTTGCTTAAGGTTTTTATTCGATGCCGGTAAGCTTAATCGATTCAACTTTGTGAAATTATTGATCAGTATTGATAAATGATTAGTTTCATAATTAAATCTAGCATATATTTGTCAAGAAATTGTCAATTTCATGACTTCCGTAATTATGTTCACATAACTGAGCCAGTGAACGTAATTCCGCGAGTATTCCGCAATTTCGAGAAGTAGACCTAAAATATTTTTGTCTTTCATTTCCAACTGTGCTCACATTCGGCGGTGTTTCTGGTGTTAATAAGTTTGGTAATGACTACATAATACTGTAACGTAATTACGGTATATAATTTTTAACACTAATAATTGAGTTTGAAGTGACTACTCTTTCGTAAGAAAGTACACGACTTTTTTCATTAATTTGCATTATTCCAATATACCTAGAATGAATATCGTAGTAACGAGCGAATCATTTGTTTCTACCTTTTCATCTATGATCAAATATTTCTGTTATATAATTTTTTTTATAAAATATAGCGCGCGGTACTTGTAGGGCGCGGATTCACCAGAGCGCTGGTGTGTATGTATGTTTGCAGAGTTCTAGGGACATGCCTGTAAACACTGTAGTTTTAATCCGATTAAGGCAGTAATTTTTTGAAATATATATAACGATTATAAAGGGACTAGCAAACCCGACGAACTCCGTTTCGCCACCAGATGAAGAATTTTTTTGTTTGTTTTATATTTGAATATGAAAAAATTGATTTTATTGCACAACAGTAATGAATTTATTTCGATTACAAAAATGAAGTATTTTTTAGTTGAACTTCTCTAAGTAAATGAAAGTGAATCCGCAAATTAACCGTTTCATTGAAGTGCTCTTTGGTAAATCACATTTTTTGTTTTTTGGTCTAACGTTAACACAAACAAAGCGGATTGTTTTCCAACTCGTGAACAGGCAACGTATAACTGCCCATGCGAAAAACAATGATTTTCTAAATAATCTATTTGAAATTTATTCCGCAAACACTAAGCGATTGATCTTGCGACTTGTTAGTTGTCATTGCGAACGCAAGGCGAACTGGAAATTGCAATCGTTTAAAGTCAAACGGAAGACCAGTCGGAATCATTGGTATGTCACCAAATCGCCAGCAATTTTTTATTGAATGGTGAAATTCAGTGCGTGTACATCATTATTCAAGAATTGCTCGTTGACTTAACCAAGCATAATTCTGATAATTCTCACTAATGTCATTACTTGAATTTTTAATTACGGTGCGTGAAGTTCCAGCAATTTGCATTAGGGCACGATGCCATGCACCACTAATTTTCTTAGCTTATAAACCTTGCGGAACCCGAAACCTTTCCAACGAATGCAAAGTTGTCCAAATCGGTTCATGCGTTCTGGAGTTATTTCGTCAGGAAGGAAAACCCGACTTATTTTTATATATATGGAAGATAATCTATTTGAAATTATTTAAAATAATTATGATTATTTTTATTACTCGAATTTTTAATTACGGTACGTAAAGTTCCAGCAATTTGCATTAGGGCACGATGCCATGCACCACTAATTTTCTTAGCTATAAACCTTGCGGAGCCCGAGACCTTTCCAACGAATGCAAAATTGTCGAAATCGGTTCATGCGTTCTGGAGTTATTTCGTCAGGAAGGAAAACCCGACTTATTTTTATATATATAGAAGATTAACTGTATATTAATAAAGTGAAGATATATCACAAGTTATTAAATTAATGATAAGTGCGATTTCTTGAAAATACGTTGCCGATGCTACTCGTGAATGCAGTAGCTTTCTAATAGTATAATACAGTTGATTATTAACTATTAAAATTATAAATATTAATGCGTTTTTTAAACGTTAAATTTTAAACTGAAATATGGTTTTCAAAAAAACGGTGGTTTCAATTAAAAATTTTTTTACCTTACGCTTCAAATTAATATCAAATTAAGATAATTGAAAACAAGAATAAATGTCAATATAGTAACAATGTTTGTTACATTAAAATTTATTTAAATAATTATATATTATATCAAAAATGTATTATACTTTTGTAATGTATATGATGGTAAAGTGACAAACTAAATATAATAGAACCTTAACAAAAAATATTTACAACTATTAATATTTTAGCATTGTCAATAGAAAATAAAAAATAATATAAATAGATATTTCTTTCATTTTGTACAAATAATACTTCTATAGATATTATGAAGTTCTCTTTCTTGTTCAACATTTCAAAAGTATGATTCTGGTAGCACTAAAATAGAATATAATACTTTTTTTCCACAATAAAGAATATAATTTAAAATACTATAGCCTAATGAACTAATTGTAAGCTAAAAAGATCATACTGACAATCATGGTTGTTTTAAATCTTAGATTTGTAGATGGCTGTGAGAAAACAGGTTTTTTATATAAGAAATGAATAATTACTTGCATAAATTTTTAGCTCACACCCAAACTCCATGTGGATTTTTGTTTGTAGGTACAGCATTTTCAAGCTGCCTTGGCGAACCAATCATTCTTCTTGTACTGCCAGGTTTATGAGTACCTTAAAAATAATATTTCTTATAAAACTTACTGGAAATATTATTGCATATTTAGCAAACTGTAGAATATAATTTGATTCGGCTTATACTGTAATCTTAAACTTATATAATCAAAATTAATTAAGAATTAACATTTCTTATAATTTGTTTTTCATATAATAAAATCTTGTGAAAAAACCTGTTATATCAACAATTTTACTTTTAGTTTTAGAATAAGTAAATTATTTCTTATATAATTGATGTGTACCTTCAAGTAAAAATTTAATCTCTTCTGCATTTGTAGTATTAGTAAGACTCTGTAAATTAACTTCTTTCATCTCATTTACAAGACTTTCAACATGCATTTTCTTTTCTATAATAGCACTTTCCAAGTCCAACACTTCCATTCTCAAAGCATCTGCAGTTTGTATTACATCATCAGTGCTTGCCTTAGCATGTTCTATATCAAATTGTAAATGCTCCATTTCCGTCATTAGACGCATCTCAAATTGATGTCTAAAAATATACATTAATATGTTTATTGAACTTCTAAAACCATGTACACATATTTTTTGCATGAGATAAAGATTCAAAAATAATTTGACATAAAAAAATAATTTTAGAAAAAAATTTAAAAACTGTGGAACTGAACGTATTTTTGCGGTAAGTAAAGTTTTGCGTAAAGTAACAAAAAAAGAGATAAATGAAATTTCTCCTTAGTAACAAGCTTACTTGTACTTCATACTGCATTTCACAATCTCTTCTTGCATGTATGTATGTATAGGATAGGGCAAACACACACACACACAAGTGAAATTTGACTTCAAGCAATTATAATGTGAAAACCAAACCAATTATATCACAACAAATAACACATATCAAACGAACAACTATCTGTCTATATTTAGTAAAACTCGCGGCTAATTCATCGTTGTAGAAATGTGTTTTTTTTTAAAAATATTCTTCTCCCCAACTTAAAATTGACAATACATATAAAACAACTAAATAACATACAGTTAAAAATTATATTAAGGTCTCGTAAAAAGACAACAGTTCTCACAAGAAAACTTTTGTTATGGAATTTCAAACATTGCCGTTTATTTCCTGATAGCAACATCGAAAGAATCAAAGTGAAAGCTAATTATATTGTTAAAAAATTCATTACTCTGTTTGTTCATCGAGCAAGATATCTGTGGCGCACCTTTAATGCCCGCTCCACTCTATATATGTAAATATAAAGTGTATGCATATATAAACATGAAATTATATTTCTCTTAAAACAAACCTGCTATCATACCGTCTAAGATATGCCTTTTGCTCAATTTGGAGTTCATCAAGAAGTAATCTGATTTTATTTTTGCATTGAAGTAATTCCGTTTCACAATTTGCTAATTTTGATCGTAAAAGAGTGATTTCTGACCTCACTGTTTTCTCCTGCTGTTTAATAATTTCATTTTCTTCTTCAACACAAGACAAAACATAAAGCTAAATAAAAAAAAACATATTTGTATATCAAAATATAAATGATTCTTAAATTTAACAAAACGTTCTCAAGTATTAAGATTGTTTAATAATGTGCTTATAACCTGTTCACTGCCCTGTCTAATAATTGTATCCGCCTGCTGAATTTCTCTTGTTAACAGGTCCATTTGTTCTTGTTGATCGCGAGTTTTGACTTCTATGTATTCAATGTCCTCATCATACTGTAGATATGAAATTATATATATATATATATATATATATATATATATATATATATATATATATTGAATAATAATAATTAATAAATATAGTTGTAAGTATTTAAGTCAATTGATATTGCTTACTTTGTTTAAATCAGAATGCTGAGCTGTTAATTTATCTTTTTGATATTTTACAAGTACCAATAAATCACCATATTGAATATTGTATAATAAAGATTCATTTATCTCTGATAAACATTGAATTGAAGAATGATCTACCTAAAAATTAAGGTTAAAATTTCAGTTATTTTATTAAAACGAAACTAATTGCCCATTTGCACATGTTAAAAAAATTATTTACAGTTTTGTTTTGCTCAATGTAAAAATAAATCAGTTATAATGCACACATTCCTAATTATATTAGCACCTAGGTTTATTACTAATTATATTATAAACAGATACATACTTCTTTTCGGGAATTACATGTATCTGGGTTTACTGGTACTTTCAATTGATTGGTAGGTGGAGGTGGATCTCTGTATGGAGGTGGCAGTAAAGATGTAGAAGGTTCTCTTGAAAAATGAGTATGTATATTTATATATATTATATATATATATATATATATATATATATATATATATAAATAGTTATAGTTTATCACCTATATGAAATGGAACATTTTTTAGCATTGTCTAGCAAATTATTTGTTGCTAAACAATTTTCATCTATTTCATGAGTGATATTTTTGTTTATGTTTTCCTGTCCGTTTAATAATATTTGCTCCTTATTATCAGTGGAGTGAGGTTTAACTTGTGGTACCCCACGAACAATACCAACTTTATCAGCCAGTCTGACATCTGACACAAGATACCTGCAAATTAAACTTTTTTTATTTGCAATAATTTCCTTTATTCTATTTTTTTTCTTTTTGATTTTGATTTTCAATACCATAACTTTTAACTTATAGATTGTATTGTAATCTGATTGTTAAAATTAACAGAAATAAAAAAAAAAAAAAAAAAAAAATTGCACAAATATTTGGTTTTTTAAATGTACATCAGAAATGTTCATTTAAATATATTCATTCAGTATTTCTTCGAAATTTCATACTGTTTTAAAGTTATTACTCTTAAGCAAAATTCAAATTTGTAGGCAAAGGCTGTATCGGCAACTAAATATTTTCTACTCTATTTATTAATTGTTAGCACAAGACGAGAAAATATCATGAATTATGATGAAAATTGTCAATTAGTTTGAATAAAAATTTAATTTTAGTAGGCAATGAATATTTAGAAATATAACAGTAAAAATATGAAGTGCACAATCGTGATTTGAAATCCCATATTCATTTTCAATTAATTATAGGACAAGGAGTAATTGACCTCTTAAAATAAATGTAAATAATGGTGTTAAAATAATGTATCGGAGCTAGAATAGTGTAATGTTTTGAGTGAACTAAATTATATTTTAATTCAAGCATTGACAAAGACTCAAAAAAATATATGTGAAGTCAAAACTATAATAATATAAGTCAATTTGATATAATTTGAATAAGAGCATGTACCCAAAAGTGAAACTTTTTCTGGTGCTTCTAGGTCTTTCTAAGTCAATGGTCTGATTATCAATCATATTATGTTCTTCTGTACTATTGTTACATGGCATAAGCTGCACATGTTTGCTTTGGTTTTGCTGTGTGTGTTGCAATTGCTTTCTTCCCTCTGATCTTTGTAATATGAATTGGACGTCACTAGAATATTCACCCCATTTCATAAGAATCTGAAAAAAATATTGCAAATAATGAGTATAAACTTACAAATAAATCTATATGATTACATTTAAATACCTTCAAAGGATTTTCTTGTGGAGCCAAGTGCCTTTCATTGCATCTCCACCTTTCAATAAGACTAAATCGGCCAACTTTTCCTGTGGCATGAGCTAATGCATAAACAACATCCTACAAAATATTGGAAATATGTGAAACACAATATTTTAATTAAAGGCTTATTATATATATATATATATATATATATATATATATATATATATATACAACTTGCCTGGCAACTGGTGTTATCAGTTACACCACATACAATTCGCTGAAATCCATCAACCCATACTTTTAACTCCATGTTTTTCGTGCTTTATTATTAAAATATATTAAAAATTATGCATGCACGCTATGAAGAACATGTTTCATTTAATTACAAAAAATATTAATATCATCTTTTATCAATATATCAATACGAACTATTTACAAATTAATTTAATACATGTTATTTTAATGAACTATCAAGAGCTTCAAGTTTATGTATTCCATGTTAAAATTAAGGATCATATTTTTCACATCACAAAATTAAGGTCAATAGGTTTGTTTGTTTTGAATTTGTTCATATTATTGCAGTATTTATTTAGCAGAGACAATCATATAAACAATACTCATAATTGATTTTCATCGTGTGTTTACATGATTAAATGATTATATTTACACATTTATGCACAGTCTGAATGACTTATCCTGTTTCACAACAATTAAAATTTGTGCTAAACGTATAAATTTTAGCGTACTTCTTTCTACTAAATTTCGTAAAAAATTCAACACTGAGATGTTAATATTGACATTATTTTCTACTACATATATATTATACAAAGCAGTCTTAAATTGACAGCACATACATAGTACTAAGTGCGAAGATAAAGGAGTTAGATATATAGATTGTTCACTTCGCCAAATTTATATATCATAGACATCTGTGTACATGTATCGTTAGATGGCACTTCAATCTCGTTAATCAACCTACCAATCAACGGTCAACGCAACGGACGATGTTACTAGCGGCATTTTACGTTAATATCTAGATTTTAAACTAAATAAAATGTAAATGTTCTTTTTTTTTAAACAACATCCCACACATTGAAATGCAAAATATAAACTAGTTGGTTTGGTATTTAGCCTTGAGGCAAGTTACATGAACTTCCCGATATGTGTAAATAATCGACTTAATCAAAAAAAAAATGTGTAAATAATATACTTCATCAATCCTACTTAAAAAAAAAACGATAATAATTTTAGCAAAGTTTGACGAATTTTTAAAATTAAACTACTTGCCATAAGGCCGTAATATTACAGTAAGTTCTATAAGACCATGATGTATATCGCCAAAAAAAGTTCCATGAAAATCGGCTTAAATTTTTCTTCAACAGTTCACCTAAAATTAATCAGTACCATTCCCAACTAATATCTTTCGAACAGTTTTTGATTTTTTAAAATCGGTTCGGTAGGATGAGCTTAAATGTGGACGAAAAGTTTAACACTTTTTTTCAAATTGCAAAGAAATGGCTTGGTAGATCGTCGCAAAAAACTGACAAACTATAGTCCTCACCGAAACACATCAAATGGTTTTTAAATTTCTAAAATCGGTTCAGGCGTTTTTAAGAAAACGTCGATCAAAAGTCTAATTTTGACAAATGTTAAAAAAATGATACCTATTTTTGCAAGCTTTGACGAATTTTTAAAGCTGAACCAGTTGTCGTAGGGCCGTAATATTTTAGTATGATCTAGAAGACTATGGTATCTACCGTCAAAAAAAATAATTATAAAAATCGTCGAATTTTTTTTTTTTAACTTTATTACAAGAAAACGGCCCGGCCGATTTCTACCAAAAACTAATCAGCATGATTCCCAATCAATATCTTTCAAACGGTTTTTGAATTTTCAAAATCGATTCAGAATTGCGGGCTGAAACGTAGACGAAAAATTTTTCACTTTTCTGCGATTTATAAAGAAAACTGACAAATAATAGTCCTCATCAAGATACATCGAATGGCTTTTAAATTTTTGAAATCGATCCAGCCGTTTTTGAGAAAACGTCGATTTACGGCAAAAAATCTGTTCACATACACGCACACACACACACACACACACACACACACATACTTTTTCCAAATTTGGTCTCATTCGATTTAGAATGGCTTGAAACGTCGAGAAAACATAAAATTAGCAATTCGAATTTTTTGATGAAAACATAAACTTCTCCTTCGGAAAGTTAATATGAACAACTTACAATAGTAAATTACAATTATATATAAAATAATTAATTACAATATGTTTTTAATGTTTATAAAATATTTTCAAAAAAATAATTCTAATCATAAAATGCTTAAAAATACTTTATTGAAGTTGTACTTCTAATTTTAAAATGGTTGCGGAAACTAGGTAGTCATAAATTTGAAATAAAACTTTTAATGCAAATTCTAAAAAGGCTGTGCTAAACCTTTAACGCTCCTGATAAAAGGTAATAGAAAGAAACATGTTGATAAATATTGTTGATTGTCTCAAAGCGTTAATTATAATTAACGCTTTATAAATATAATTGTTTTTTAATTTATGAAAGGCCCAAATGATTTCACATAAAAATTATTTTCCTGGAAAAAATCATACTGGCTAAAATTGGACTAAGGATAAAAGTCTTGATGTTAAAAATGCATGAATTTTACAATTTTATTCAGAGACAAAGTCTTTAACAATGCATCTAAATTATGTACAAAATTCACAAATCATAAAATTATATGCACAGTTATAAAAAAATAGCATATTATGACTTATAATATTTTCAAAATGTTTCTCACTCAATATATAAAAATATAGTCTTTAGTAACAATAATATATAGTACATCTACGATAATAGTATATTGATAACAAATTTTGCTTGCATCTTCCAAATTGATTAAATCAATAATAAATTTGGCTATATAGCAAACAATAAATACTAGTCAACACTTATTAAAAGAAAAACTATCGAATACAAAAAAAGCATCAAGTGACATGAAATATTTGTCATAGATTTTTTTATTATCTCATGCCTTTACCACTACAAATCTCACATAATATTGAAAGTGATTACATAAAGACTTAATAAGCTTATTATAATAATATTCAATTAATCTTTCATTAAATCAAAATCAATTCAAAGTAATATTCAGTTTACAAATGTCTGAATCAGTATTTAATAAATTTTATCTATATTTGAATAATATATATGTTGTAAAAATACATTATTCCTAATTATATAAAAATGATATTTATAAAATTCTTATATTCTTACATTCATAAAAGATATAATAATATTTAATATAATTCTATATAAATCGTTAAAAATATTTTTACACAACAACATTGCCTCTATTTATTCGATACGAATATAAAAGTTGATTATATACAAAAGCTGTAAAATAAATAGAACAGTGCAAATTTATCGCCATTTGTATAAAAAATGAACACACACAAGTTACAATAATATAGGTTTGTTTTTGCATTGGTCTATGACATATTGTGTAAATCTTTTAAGAAACTTGGGATATTCACGTTTGTATACAGCTCTTAAAACAGAAGCAGGTGCCCAACCACCGGGGTTAACTGAAAATTGAAATTTATTAGTAGACTGAATATATAACATTACCACATATAATGACATAATCAATGTTTGCATCTTTTAAAAATTTGCAATTAAAATTCACCTTTCTACCTTCTATTCCTTTCTAGATGCTAAACTATCAAATGTTATTGAATTCTCTTTATATGATATTAGTACTATACTTTTGACACTATGTAATCAAAACTATATGAATAAAAAGGTAGTAAGTTGTATTTTGTTCACAAAAATTGTGCTAAAATTGTTGATTATTTGATTATAAAACTTACCGACTGAGCAATAAGTAATTTTGCAAGTAATATTATCTCTGCTCATATCAGTTCCATTACTTGGTGGAGAGATGCATGTCTGGCAAACTAAGGAAACTGTAAGGAAGACCCTTACACATTTTGTAGTGCTTGTTTGCTAAACATGTAAAATAAAATTGATATTTAAGAAAATTATTTTTACTGAGCAAAGTTATACAAAATGTTCACAAATATGCATGTATGTTAAATATGTATATATATAATGTACACATATATAAAATATAATATCCTGTATTATCTAGTTAGAGTAATCATATTTTGCAATATCCTTGATGTTCATTATATCCAGACTCTACTTTATGTAGAAAAATATCAATATCTTACCAAGTAAGCTGAATCATCGGTTGAATGGTTGCAAACAAACCAAATATCTTGGCCACTATTATCTTTATCATCTGGAACATGGCCCATGTGAGACCAAAATAAAGCATCTCGTTGTGATGCAGGCCATATGCGTTTATGAGTCTGAAGAAATACCAAGGTATCTTCAGCAATTGTTTCTAATACAACCATTTGTTCAAGAGTTGCTGAAATTAGATATTAGAATATATATAAAGTCTACAAAGTAAAGTACATTTTCCAACTTCTTATCTTTCTGATAAAAACTTACTTTCCCAATCATAGCGAAATTCAGGACTGAAAAAGTACTTGCACATCTCTCGTCCTGTGACCCCTCGTACAATGTGACAAGCTTTCAGAGGATCCAGTACCATACCATCAACTTCCTGTTCTCGACGATACATCTTCATATCACCATCTTCAGCAAAAAGATGCCAACTGCTACTTCCGTTAGTGTCTTCACCCACTCCAATACGAGCATAATGCAATTGTTCTAGTGAAACGCGGTCAATCTGTGAGACGAAATTAATTTTTGCAAAACCAAGATTCATTAAAAACATACAAAACAAAGTGGTACAACTTATTTTAACTTGCCAACAAAAAAAATTATTTTTAGATGAAAATCATGTTGATTACATTTTGACATTTTGGTTGGTTACAAATTTAAAAATTCAACTAGTTGTAAGTAGCCTTTTGCTTTTAGGCAAGTTGCATTAGCCTTCCGATAATATACATAATCAACTTAATCAATAAGAATTGAGATTCAGCTATTTAGGTACAATGTTCAACTGTTCATTTCAAAAATAAAATTTTCGCTTTCACGAAAAAATAATCAATACGATTTTCATTTGATGTGTTTCAAACATGCTCATTGGAACGCATTCCATAAGTTACTAAAGAATATTTAATTAAAACTCAATACTTTACTATTTTACGATGTTTTATTAGAATTGATTATATGAGATATTTTCTATACATTCTGCCAAGATCATGGCAAATTAAATCTAACTTAGAGCAAATTGCTCCACTCATAATATCTGTAATTCTATAAACTGAATTAATTTTTTAACATATTTAATTTAATCTATTTTGTGTTCTAAAAATTCATTTTAGGTGTCGATTGTAATCAGTAGATACCCACAGAACACGAGACGTACACATGCTCGGCATAAATTCTGATTAGAATCCCTTAAGCGCCTTTTCCCTTAATATTTTAGTATGGTCTTTCAGACTATGATCTCTATCGGCAAAAAAGTTTCATAAAAATCGTCAAAATAAAGTTTAATACGTAATCACAAAGAAACGCCCGGCAGATCTTCCGATTACATCAAATGGCTTTTAAATTTCCAAAATCGGTCTAGCCGAAAATTGGCTCTCATACACACACACATACATACTTTATATAAATTTGGTCTCATTGGTTTCAGAATAACTTGAAACGTGAAAACATAAAATTAGCAAATCGAAGTTTTTGAGGAAAACAAACTTGTCATTTGGGAGGTTAGAAATTACTCAATAGATCCATATTTTCATTAACTTAAATTAATATTGTGTGATAGGCTAACTAAGCTTATACAATTAAATGTGGTTTGAATATAAATCATGGACATTCAATAAATCAAGCTGAATAATAGATCGTTTTACGATTGAGATAAAAATTATTTTTGATGAAATTATAAGACTCACCTCTGGCCAAAGTCGGTGATCTTGGGCTTTTGATGTAGATTGAGAATTTTTATTTCCAGTTGTTGATTTGACTATTGTTTTACCTATTCTGATCCTATCCCTCATCTCATGATCCTCTTCAATTTTATCTAAACTTGATTCCACTGCATCATAAAATTCGTCTTCTGGCAATGCTGAATGAGGACCTTCCTGTATTTTTTAGAGGATGCTGATCATAAAATGTGAAACTTCAATTCAGAAAATTATAGGATTGGATTTCATAGAACTACAATATTTAAAACAACACTTATGACTTAAAAAAATATTCAAAACAATAACAAAAATGAATAACAGCGGAAAGTTCAAGTTCAGATAAAAAAATGCTCTCAATGATTTGTATAATAAAATTAGTTTTTGTATAAACAAAAAAAAGACAAAAATGTTTATTTTATCTTACATTATTAAATAAAATAAGTATTTTTAAAAAGACAATATATTTATATAGATATTATGTTTATATATTTAAAAATAATAGTAAAAAAAAAATACCAATGAATAGAATTACATATACCTCATAATCTGGTCCTGGGTGTGTAGCAATTCTCAGTTGGTCTAAGTGCTCTCGTGCTGCTCTAAAATTAATATTTAGTATTTATTAATTAAAATTTCCTTTATATGATCACAAAGAATAAAATTGACTAACTTGTATAGTTCTTCTGCTTTTTTTCGTCTTTCGCTCTCTCTTTCCAGCCGTTTCCTCCAAGATTCTTCCCTTCGGCCAATAACATCCAAACAATGTTGTAATGTACTCAAAACACCTTCAGTCGTGGCTCGAAACGTTATAGCTTCACCCTGTATATATTAACAAATGAATTTTATTGATTGTAATAAGCATGCCAATATGTGTAACATATGCTAATAAAATATATATAATTATTCATGAGATTGTGGCAATCACAATTTTGAGTTTTTGGATTGTATATGCATACAAAATTTTATAATAATCAGTTAAGTTGTTTTAAAGGAGTATGATAACTAGTATAGTGACACAAGAACTTCATTATGTATATATTTTCTGTCCATTCATGATATAGCGGGAATGACATGCTTTTCTGAACCACTCTGATGCTCAAACTATTTTTTAATTTTCTTGCGGTGATTTTCGTTCACACACTTTTAGAGCTTATTATGTATATATTTTCTGTCCATTCATGATATAGCAGGAATGACATGCTTTTCTGAACCACTCTGATGCTCAAACTGTTTTTTAATTTCCTTGCGGTGATTTTCGTTCACACACTTTTAGAGCTTAGAAAACTGCTTAAAAATTATTGTAAGGCCCTCAACTGGAGTTATATCCTTTATATATTACTTCTGTTTAAACACAATACATATCTGTGATGTGTCACCAACATACACCCTCGTTAACCTCATTTTTTTCAATGATTTCTTGATTTAATAAAAGAGACATAATCCTTCTCTTTGGACATATGGTTATAAAAGTAAATAATATTTTCTTAGTGTATAAAAAGCAAAAAAGCGCGAACTCAACATATATAACTGTACAATCACTATTAATGTAGAGTTAAAATTTCAAATGTTAATATTATAATATTTCGTAATATTCATGTGGGTATAAATATATATATATATATATATATATATATATATATATGTATATAATTCAGTGTTGAATCAGTTTACTAGTATTTATTATTATGATGATACAAATAAAAACGTTGTGTAACAAAATATCACAGTTTTTGTTTCTTAATTAAATCTTTTTCATGAGGTGGCATTACATTTTTATAATACTGAATAAAAAGTACTGAAGCAAACATTCTAGAAAAGTTGTTTTTTATCAATTAAATATTAAGTATTTGTATTACTATGACGCTTGTGTATAAAACAAAAAAAATTATATAACAACGTTAAGTTCAATTTTTCAGAACAATGCCATTGAAAAATAATCACGACCATAATGTGACTGTAAAAATTCAATCTCAATTTTTACAATATGTAATAACAAACAAAGCATAGAACGCTTATGTTCTTATAAAAAATTAATTGTGCATATTCTTCACTACAAAGTTCTTATTCTTATTCAGAAAAAAACCCTTTTAGTTTTATAAAGAGTTATAAAAAAGATGAGAAAAAGCTTAATATATTAGTGATTAACACTTTACGCACCTTGAAGTCGATGCTTTGAATTTCGTTTCCAAGAGTTAAATTTGACAAATTATTTGATTCAGCACACGCATCAAAGTATCTACAACAGAACATAAAAAGTAAAATATAAATCATACTTGTTTACTTAAAATTTTTATTGAAGCTAAATTTTGATATTAACGACAATTAATGAAAAAAATCTATAAATACTTTTTCCCTTTTTCTTTTTCATATTATAATTACAATATGAGAAAGAATAAATTGATAGTCTTCTACAATAAATTTAAAATTAATAACGATCAACTTCTTTCAACAAAAATATTTGGTTTGATTTGCATCTTTTGCATAATATTACTTAAAAATGATTGTTCACTCAATAACAAATTCTATGAATTATGAATTGCTGCATTTACATTTATTTAATTTGAAATTAAATTTTATAAATCGCCACACAATTTCATTTCTATTTTAAATTATTACATGATAATACATTATTAATAATTGTAAACAAAATACAATTACATGTAAACAACATACATACATTCATTTTAAATATAATTTGAATATTCAAGGATAATATCTGTGTGCATATATAGACAAGTAATGAATAAAATCACCAAAAACAAGATTTAAAATTTTTATTTGTGTACGAGTTACTCCATTTTTGATATTAAAAAACATACTTAAATAAAAATATATAATATAGAAGGTTAATATATTAATATATTAAATGTAAGATTCAAACATATTTAATGATAAAAATTTAATCTGAAATAACTTACCTTTGTAACGAATCAATTTGATTACAAAGTATATCACGAAAAGTTTCCATTTCATTAAGTTTTTCACATAAACTTCTCGTACCACGTTTAAAACTACTACCAGAAGCTGTACTCAAAGTTGTTGATTGCAAAGAGACAGTGGATCCGTGTCGTCGTAAGCTATTTTCAGAACCAGTTACATATCCAGATTCACCCTGCAAGAGCAATTAAATTTAAAAATCCCTCTTTTTATTATTTCAAAACCTTACAAGTTAGTGTAGAAGTGAGACAACAAACGTAACGCAGTACAGCTCAAAATCATTTATAATCTAAACAACAATTTATTTCTGCGCATCCTCATACCATGGAATATTTGTTTTGTTATTTTTTAACATAATGATATCAAACTGTAAGTGATTTAGATTAGTTATTTTAATTACTTTAATAGTATACATCACTTACTTAGTTTTCATTATTATAGTTATTTTCCACTAAATGAAGGCTAGGATGTCAGCTGAAACGTATGGATATCAAATCAAATACATCTTTAAACAATTTATACAATTTTTATTGATGTAACGCCTGATCTTCAAACTCAACTCATACATATCAACGCGTATACATCATATCAATATAAAATTATTGTGTTATGATGTATAATACACCTCCGAAACGATTTGCCCAATTTTTATGAAATTTTATAATAACATTCAGTATGACTTGAGAATCGGACATCTACTTTTCATATGCCTTGTTGTAAGTTTTTTTTCGCCCATTTCTTTTATTAACTTTCCGAAGGAGAAGTTTATGTTTTCATCAAAAAATCCGATTCGCTAATTTTATGTTTTCTCGACGTTTCAAGCCATTCTGAATCGAATGAGACCAAATTTGGAAAAAGTATGTGTGTGTGTGTATGTGAACAGATTTTTTGCCATTCGATGTATCTCGACGAGGACTATCGTTTGTCAGTTTTGTGTGACGATCGGCCGAGCCGTTTCTTTGTAAATCGCAGAAAAGTTTACGTTTACGATTTTCGTATACGTTTTAGCCCGCAATTCTTAATCGATTTTGAAAATTCAAGATCAGTTCGAAAGATATTGATTGGGAATCGTGCTGATTAGTTTTTGGTAAAGATCGGCCGGGCCGTTTTCTTGTAATAAAGTGTTAAAAAAATTTTTCGACTATTTTTATTATTATTTTTTTGACGGTAGATACTATAGTCTTCTAGATCATACTGAAATATTACGGCCCTACGACAATTAGTTTAACTTAGAAAATTCGTCAAAGTTTGCAAAAATTGGTATCGTTTTTTTGGCATTTGTCAAAATTAGACTTTTCATCGACGTTGTCTCAAAAACGCCTGAACCGATTTCAGAAATTTAAAAACCGTTTGATGTATTTCGATAAGGACTATCGTTTGTCAGTTTTGTGCGACGATCTGCCAAGCCGTTTCTTTGTAATTTGAAAAAAGTGTTAAACTTTTCGTCCACATTTAAGCTCATACTACTGAATTGATTTTAAAAAATCAAAAACTGTTCGAAAGATATTAGTCGAGAATGATACTGATTAGTTTTAGGTGAAAATCTACCGAGTCGTTTTCTTGTAATTAACTGTTGAAAAAAAAAATTAAGCAGATTTTTATGGAACTTTTTTTCAAATTCATTAAAGTTTGAGAAAATGAGTAATTTTTTTGACTTTTGTTAAATTTAAAATTAGACAATTTACTTGGTATAAAGATAGAGTACTTGGTCTTAATGAACATACTAAACCATTAATGTCACATGGAAACTTGTTCAATTATAAAAATTATTGATTTTTGAACATTCGCTTTTAGAAAATACCCCGAGTTAACGTGATCGTTCGTTTTCAATTAAGTCCAATAAATTCACTCGGAATACTTTTAATCACTCATAAATTAATTTATTTTTTATTGATTAAGTCGATTATTTACACAAATCGGGAAGTTCATGTAACTTGCCTCTAGTTTCTTTATTAATTTGTAAATAAAAAGCATATACAACTCTAAATTTTGACCATCCTACCACAAAACCCTATTTAGTAATAGTCATTTTTATCCCTTCTTCAGTCAATAAATGTGTTTCACCGCATTCCGATTAAGTTTTTCTTGATTTTAAAGGTTCGTCTAATGCTTTCGTCAAATTTTGGAAACAATTTTCTTTTATTTTAATTTTGTATAATGTCTGATTCAAAGACTTATATGACCCTTCTTTTCACTCTCGTATTTCAAAGACCTGTTTTAGTAATAATAATCTTTTTTTTATACTGCTTTCAGTTAGTGAATATTTTGCACTGAATTTTATTATTTTTGCACTGAAGTGTTCAAATTTTCTTGAGCTCATAAAATATCAAAATTTACATTAAAAAAACATTTTTTTTGTCAAGGGTTTCTACCTTCAACACTTCTTTTTAAATTTTGAGACCAATGTAAAAAAAAAATTCAATGCTGATTTGAAAATACACAGAACTCCAAACTTTTACCCTCCTACCACAAATTCCTATTTCATAATGTTGGTGAATGGTGAAAGTTTTTCACACAATTTCAACGTTTGTTAAATTTTTCTTAAAGCATAAAATGATATGCTCTATTTGTTGAAAAAAAACTAAAAACTTCTTCCAATTTCTGATTAAAAATTTTTGCTGTTTTTGTTTTATTTCTTTTCAATGTTTATTTTTTTTTTTAATTCCTTTTATTTATTTTATTATTTTTTAATATTTTTTGTTTTTTATTTTTAATATTTTAAATATATACATTGCTTTATTTTCATGTATTGTTTTTCCATCCTTGATTCACTTTTTTCAAACCAGCTAGCATTTCCCAGTATTCGATCCTGGAACAGCATTTCTAAACCCCCTTGTTTCCAGGGCCTTTTCACTTAGAACAAAATCCTCGTTCAGAAGGAATACTTAGGGGTCCATTTGTAGTCGCAAATTTGGCGCTAGTGTGCCGATGAAAAAGTATTTTCAAATGTTTTATATTGGTTACTAAGAAACGTCAGTGTTATTTTTGTATAAGTTTACAAAATGGCGATTCTTCTTCGTTTGTGTTTGTATATTTGTTAATAAAGATTTCATCAGGAATTGCTCTCAAATGCATAGCCCTTTGACAATATGAATAGAACAGCTTCAAACTCATATGGAGGACATAATTACTACAATACTACGTAGTGCATCAACATATTAGTCTAATCATAATACACTTTAAGGAAAGAGATCAGTTCTAGGAAATTGTGTGAGAAATCAAATATACGCTTCTACAAGAAAGACATAATACACAAATGGAAAGCTGTTCCAGCTGTTTAATATTGGATTACCACTTCACGCATATCTGAATATACTTGGGAAAAATGAATTGCTTAAGAATGTCAAATTTTGCACGTGATGATTATTAGTTAATGAGAGTTAAGAATGACAGACGATGTAATGAACTAACACTATAATGCATTATTCACTAAATTTCAATGAATATTTATATTAATAAGTAGAAAAAAGTGTAGAAGTTATTCCAGTAGATTAGATGTGATATCTTCTATATATATAAAAATAAGTCGGGTTTTCCTTCCTGACGAAATAATTCTAGAACGCACGAACCGACTTCGACAATTTTGCATTCTTCGGAAAGGTCTCGGGCTCTGCAAGGTTTATAGCTAAGAAAATTAGTGGTGCATGGCATCGTGCCCTAATGCAAATTGCTGGAACTTCACGCACCGTAATTAAAAATTCGAGTAATGACATTGAGAATTCCAGAGTAATGACAGTGAGAATTATCAGAATTATGCGAGCAATTCTTGTCGCAAAGAATAATGATGTACACGAACTAAATTTTACCGTTCAATCAAAAATTGCTGGCGATTTGGTGACATACCAATGATTCCGACTGGTCTTCCGTTTGACTTCAAACGATTGCAATTTCCAGTTCGCCTTGCGTTCGCAATAACAAGTCGCAAGGCCAATCGCTTAGTGTTTGCGGGATAAATTTCAAATAGATTATTTAGAAATCATTGTTTTTCACATGGGCAGTTATACGTTGCCTGTTCACGAGTTGGAAAACCAACCGCTTTGTTTGTGTAACGTCAGACCAAAAACAAAAATGTGTTTACCAAGAGCACTTCAATGAAACGGATAATTTGCGGATGCACCAGATTCAACTAAAAAACACTTCAAAAACGGTAATTTGCAAACACTTTCTATTTAAATTATTCACTTCATTATTTCATAAACATTTTTGTAATCGAATTCATTACTGTTGTCAATAATTTATTCTTTTCTTTTCAAATGTAAAACAAACAAAAAATGTCTTCATCTTTCTCATGAAACCATCTGGTGGCGAAACGGAGTTCGTCGGGTTTGCTAGTCTATTATATATAAACCGTGTATTGCAGTGTATTTGTTGATTTATATTTCGATTTGATTGTATATTTATTATAATATAATATTATCTAGTATATTTTTGTTATTATTGTATCATTACAAAACATAATAGGATTGTAATACCGAATTTAGTTTCAAATACCCATGTATTAAAATTCATTAATTTTCATTTCAAATTTTGCGCCATTAATTTGAGTGCCAAAAGCAGCGCCATCAGGTCGAGCGGAGGACCCTTTAAGTATTCCTTCTGAACGTAAAAATCAGGCGAGAGAAGCGTCTATATGAATACGGGGTATTCTAATATTGTCTAGGCTTGTTTCTACAGTAGCTGAACTTTGCGTATACAATATATCCTGTGGCTTACTACAATTTTATGATTTAACTTTTAGTTTAAAATTTTATTTTATTGGTTTCTTTATTCATTAAACAATGTATTTAAAATTTGTGTCTTTTCCTGATTTGGTATTGGATATCAAACCAGGATTTTATTTGTTATATTTTAAATCTATAATTATATAAACTTTGTATTTTTTTTAATAATTTGTTAACGTCCTGAATATTGACACACATACAGTATATATATATATATATATATATATATATATATATAAATCTATTGCATCATATGTTATAATATGCTTTGAAATTTGCATTTAATCTCACCTTAAAGGATTCCAATACGTCAACCCATCGTTGTTTATCATCTGGTGTATCAGCCCTCAAATACCAAACACAATCATTTACTGACACATCGAACCTGCACTCATCAATTTCATGAGGCTATATGAACAATACACTAGCATGATCAGAATCAGATTCGTCACTACAATTATTATAATTCCAATCCTCTGCCATTTCGATTTTGCACGATATACAATTGTCAAGGAATCAACAGACTAATGACTATAAAGAATTACAACAATACGATAACATAGCACATATGACAAATCGTTTTTCATAAATTCTAATTAATCACAAAACAATTAAATATTGACAGTAGTAAGCATAGATGCAACTGCAAGTTACAGAACTACCAGCATAAATAACGTCAACCATTTTGAGGTTAGATGTCAACGACCTTGTCCAGTAGCGCCATTAGCGGCTTCGCCATATAATTATTTGAGGATGTTTATTTTTTAAATTATTTAACCGATAACTTTTTAAAAATATATTCTATTATTCAATATATTCTGTTATTATATTTTATTATATTCTAATATTCTATTTTAATATTAATTTCTATTTAATAATTCAGATATGCGAGCATATCACTTAAAAATAAAGTTGTTTCTGGTGTAGAAATCCATGTCTAGACAATATAATATATATACAGTAGGCCCTCGCTTTACACGGCACTCTGGATACACGGTTCCCATACTACACGGAGACTAAAATCGACATCCCTCCGACTACACGGACTTCTTATTACACGGTATTTAGTAAGCAGACATAAGTTCGTTGTGCAAACGGGTATTGATGTAAATTTTGTTATCGACTGTTATCTTTTAGACATGTTGATTATATAATAGCTGCCTAAGAACACGTTTGAGTGACTACTGTGTCGCGCCAATTTTTGAATAAGGTGTCAATGTCATAAATGTCATATCGTCCGATTATACTCCTACTTCAAGGTGTATTTCCTTGGTCTCCATACAGCGCGATAAAAAATGATACGATTTGTACCAACTCTGAGTCTCTCATAGCACGGATCCCATACTGCACTATGTAAGGTTCCATAGAACGCACTACGAATAGCCTGAATTGTATGTTAAATACGAGTCTTATAGCACGGTTCCCATACTGCACGGTACGCACTTGCCGCGTAAAGCGAGGGTTTACTATAGTATATATATATATATATATATATATATATATATATAATGGATCCATGCATCTCAATTACATATTTGAAAACATTTAAAGTTAATTATCTTGTATTTCTCTGAGCTATTCAAATACATAGTTGTACTCTTAGACAATATACACAATACAGTAGAATCCCTTTAGTATGTCAAAGAATTATGACCGATCGCTTATAATGACAAAATCATACTATAAAGATTGTTTTCATATAAAATTTCTTATAAAACAGTTGGATATAATGACTTCCCATGACATGTTGTTCACAATGACCTATTGGTATTTTTTATAGAGCGGTACCAAGGCCGATCCTGGACGTGCTGGCCTAATGGACATTTACCGTACATACATATTTAGAATATCAGTATAAGATTATGTGGAAAGTAGGATGGGCAATTTATCTAGACACAATTTACTTTATTTTAATCACATTGAACATCTAAAGGTTACTAAAGAGAAAAATACAAAAAGAAGAATTAATTGAATAGTAAAAAAGTGTAAATACTTCAAATAATAAATGTGAAAAATAAAGATAGATATCATTTTGTTTACTTATTTCTGTTAACACTCAACATTATATTTTGTACACATTCCTCCCTTTGATAAGTTTCAACACTGCATCAATTGAATTATTAGAAAAAACTAAATTTTTAAATATTACTTCTTGACACTTATAGTTAATGCAGTGTGCTGTTTGAAAGTGGTACAAATTTTAATACCTTTCCCGTCCAAAGTGTGTAAGATAGTCGATTAGAGCATAAGTTATATAAAAGTAAAAAAGAATTCCATTTATTAAAATAATTTTATTGTTATTTGAAAGATTTTTAAAAATCACAATGATTGTAAATATAAAAATTCATATTTATTCAAAATAAGCAGCATATATCGCTTGTCTTCTCATATAACAAAATAAAAAATTAGTATTAATAGAGCGCAACTTGAATAAAGATGAACTATAATAAATACTAAACATTAGTACTATCAAAATATGTAACAAAAATTAATTTTGAATGTGTTCAGCCGGCACATTTATTTGAGCAAAAGTAAACTATGGCTATATCATAATTAATAAGGCACAGCTTTATATTTAAACATAATTCTAATACCTTATTGATTATATAAAAAGCCATGAGACCATTAAGTAATATTGCTGCGTGATTCCCTTAATTGTGCATTCATCAACATTAATTTTCGGCTAAGTTTTGTGTTGTGTTCTTGTAAGTAACTAATAATATCGGCTTGTTTTTCAAGAAGTTCTGCTATATTTCTTCCCTGCTGTGTAAAACCAACAGCATCGCTCCTCTGTCCTTCTGACATGGTGGCCATTTGTCTTATCCATTCACTTTTCAAAACATCGGGTGGTAAATGTTTCATATTAAAATCAAAGGCCTTATCTAGAAATTATAAAAATGGTTGCAGACATCCAATTCTTTTCTCTACTTATTCATTAATATACATACAAATATATACACCATTAACTCCAATTAAAACTGCTGTTTCCACAATAACAAATAATGTTACATATCCCACTGGAGAAAGAATACTTGCTCCACAATGTTTTGTAAAATCATCCTCATAAAAGTGTTGCATTAAAGTTTGCATAGCCAATAATACAGCATTCCATAGGGATACTACATATAACGATAATCTATGTAAAATTGAAGTTTCTTTATAAAACTGATGATATCCTTTAAGACGAATATTATTATGATGATAATGAGCAATATGATCAATTACCTGAAAAAAAATATTAATTAAATGTGTGATTTTATTTAACTTGTGTGTATCTTTACTCACAAATGAAAACAACCAAAAAGCCACATGCAAATACTGTACTATGTAATATCCTTCACAATTTGTTTCCTGTGACCAATGGCATGCAAAAACTATACTTGTGATCGATATGAGTGTTGAAACAATAATCTGTGAACTAATCATAACTATTAGATTATATTACTGAATAGCAATTTGATACAATAATTTTCGCATACCCAAATAAAGGAATTGTCTTTATTTTGGAGAACTCCTTGCCCTGATCGCTCATCAAAACAGGTGCAGTAAGTATAGTTTCATCATCTCCGGCCTCATCACTGAAGAATATCGCTCCCTACAATAATTTGAAGTGACACCAATGATTTTTGTTATTAAACAGAGTTCGAACAGTTTCATAATAAATATGAAGTTGTTCAAGAAGAATTAATACTAAAATCACTAACATGAGTCGATGAGTTTAACCCAGGATTTAAACTGACCATAATATGATTATATCGTCAAAAATAATTAAAAGTGACAGAAGTCATGGATAACAATATTATTTTTCAAAACAAGCTTTATCACAATTCATACGTCAAAGTCAATCATAGAATAATTTCGCACATATTGGCGCTGTTTATTGACCGAGCATGTTTATTCATCTATGATACATCATGGACCGCTCTTCGTTCGTTCGCTCGGCTTATTTGACATCTCGTTGACATCTGGTGAAAATCGTTGTATAGCGCTCAATTCAAAGGACAGCTTTTCTATTTTTGTGTTATAGTTTCATACTTCACACATTTTGATTTGATATCAGCTACTTTGAGCCTAGTGAAGACAGTTAAATGTTATGAGCCTTTCACCAATATATTCTTACTTCTTCAAAGGGTTAAACTTTTTAAAGAATTGGCCTTTTATCATATTGCACAAATTTCTCAATTCGATTTCAATAGCTAATTTTTTGCCAAATCTACGTCTATTTCGTGTTACCATGTGATCTCTTATACAACCATATCTTTGTTTATCAATCATCATCGCAGTTTTTTTTAAATATTTTACCATTCTTGCCAAACTTATTTATCTATGTCTTTGGTTAAACTTGCGTCGCCCTTGACAACTCGAGATACTATTATATGTCAAAACCGCACGTGTTGTGGCATCTTTGACAAGTTTACAATTGATAGGTTAGTTTTTAGTTTACAAAATGAGTTTTACCGTACGAAAGAAAGTTGTAGAAGAAGGTGATACTATTATTTTGTATCTAAATGTAAATAATTTGCATGCAATTGAAGTAGCTACGCATGCCAAAAATAAAAAGAATCAACTGATAGAAAAAGTCTTCCAGACAAGTTTTGGCGCTCTAAAAATAAAAGACCTTATAGGGCATGAGTATGGTACAAAGGTGTGAATAAATGTAATTATGCATTATGCTAAAATGTATAAAACTCTTACAATGTCAATATAGGTTATTGTTTTTAGGTACAACTATCCCGTGGATGGGGTTACGTCTTACAACCAACTCCCGAGTTATGGACTGTTACTTTACCTCACAGGACACAAATAATCTATACTCCTGATATAAGTATGATTATATTTCAGTTAGAAATAAAATCTGGCAGTACTGTTATTGAATCAGGTCTTGTTCAAATCAGTTTTTTTTTTTAAATAAACATCTAGATCTTATAAATTATATATATTAATTCAATATATTTCAGGCACTGGTAGTGGTTCTCTCTCTCATGCATTTATCAGAGCTGTCGCTCCTCATGGGCATCTTTATACATTTGATTTTCATGAAGTTAGAACTGTACAAGCAAGAGAGGAATTTGAAAACCATGGTTATTCAAAATATGTAACGGTAAATATTCATTTTCTGTTATTTACATTACTATGAATCAATAATGTAATATTTGTTATTACCATCAAAATAAAGTTCATACAATTGTAGTTAAATGCTTAATGCTACTAATATATACTGATTCTTATAGGTCACACATAGAGATGTATGTGGATCAGGTTTCTCTCCAGAATTAAATGGTAAAGCTGATGCCGTGTTTTTAGATTTGCCTTTGCCTTGGGAAGCTATTGAACATGCCACAAAAACGTTTAAAGTCACAGGTGGACGATTTTGTTCATTTTCACCATGCATAGAACAGACACAAAAGACATGCAATGTTTTGACACAATTTGGGTACTCAGAGATCACAACAATGGAGATACTACAAACTGATTACAATGTTATTACCAGATCAATGCCTGTTATGAATTTAGATATTTTAAAACTAAAGGTACATATTGCAATCATAAATATAAATATATATATATATATATATATATATATATATATATATATATTATATTGTTTTGAGAATGAAATACATACGTAAAATTACATAGGTATGGAATACCTACTTGTGGATCTTAATCGATATATATGCATATACGTGAAAAGAATTTTAATATTAATTTATTTTTTAATTCAATGAATTTGTTGCTATATCAAATATATTTCAAAATCGAAAAAAAACATCTATGTATAATATATCTATTAATATTTAACTTCTGAATTGAACAGAAAACAGATGATGTGGATGATGAAAATGTGAAAGATAAAGAAAAGGAAGTAATAAAAATTTTAACAGCTGCGACTCCTGTGACACAACCCGGACACACAGGATATTTGGTGTTTGCAACTTATTTACCTTCGTGGGCTAGATGAAATACGTATTCTTCCAAATCATTAGATAAAGTCATAAATATACAAATAATGGTTTAGTAAATTTTAATATGGTTCTATATAAAAATTAAAATGGAATAATCTTACTCTTGTGTTGTGTAAATACCAGTGATTTAAATAATAATTATTTTTCATACATTTTTTTGTTAGTTTTAATCTTAGAACTAAATATTAGGATTAGCTTAACAATAAAAATTTAGGCAAAAATCATGATTATGTTAGAAATGCATATAGGTTTCATAAATTTTGGTTATATTCTTGTCTCTCAAAACAATCAAATGGGCTCATTCATTCTATGATATTATTATTAGAACTTTTTTAATTATAATCACAAATATATAACTCCTTTGCAAACACATCCAGAATTACACATACAAATATATATATATATATATATATATATATATAAATACATGATTAGTAAAAATTTTCTAATTTTATTAATTTTTGCTTACAAACATTGGGAGCTTTACTGCCTGGGGCTCTGATATGTTTGATATATGCTCCTGATGTACACTCATGTATTTGTTAAACATCTACAACATATAATTAAAAAAAATAATAATTACATGGCATTATACTCACTATTGTAGATTTACAGAAATTCTCGCCAATTTTCACTCATTTATCATCATTTTTACTCACTTATTGTAGTACATTAACACTTACAGTAGTAAACTTGCACTCATTGTGATACATTAACACTCATAGTAGTAAACTTGTACTCATTGTAGTACATTTTCAATCGCTTGGTTTATTGTTAATGAAGCCAGATTGGAAATCTGCACAGGAATCAAATCGTTATTTTCAGCTTTTTATGAATGATTACTCCTCATCATTCATTATTATATGTGGTTAGTTTCCATAGCTGTTGGTCATTAGCTGTATCTGTAATGTTATGTTGGATCATTAGCTGTATTTGATGTTTCTATGTTTAGATGATCTAATAAACACACCTCTTCTACACATCCTCGTAATTTTTGTTTTTTTTTTCAATATAAATGATAAATATTATTTTTGTGATGATAAACTTTTGTTTCCTCATTCAGAAATTTTGGAACTCACAACTCGATGCACATATGAGATGAAAGGTTGTCTTCAAGTGAATTTATATGATAATCTCTCAGCTGAGGTTGCAAATCGAAGGTAGTATTATTACAAATTATTATGTTTTGGATATATATATATATATATATATATATATATATATATATATATATATGCAATAGCTTAAAAGGCTAGTTATATAACTATCATAGGTATAATGCAACATACGGAGTATACTTATTACGTATGTAACAATTTTTTTAGTTAATAAATACATTTGCATTTTATAGGAAAATATTTTATTTAAATACATACATATATATATATATATATATATATATATATTATTTCAATTTTAAAAGTGGTACAATAAAATTTTGTTCCCAATAAAGTAAATTGTCTGTTGGACTGTCTGTCCAGAAGGATGTCTGGTTTGAGATAGGTTCAGGCGATGTGTTTTTATGAATACACTTCCGGTAATTGGTTTCTAGTTTATAATTGAAATTGACTATTAATTATTAGCTTATCTAATACGTACGTTATCTTAACAAATTGATAGTAACCGACTATCTGAACAAATTTGTAACATACAAAGCTCAAAACTTTAATTTCGGTACATCTAGTCCCAAGGATTCCATTTCCTCTCTTATGGTATCAGCCCTCTTTTTATCCTTTTCGTGCCTTTCAGCAAGCGCCTTCAAAGTATCTTGACCTGCATCAGCAGCATTTTCTTTTGACTTGCCGGTGAGGTTTCCATAAGACATGCGCCCCCTTCTCGAAACACGCTTTGTCAGATCTGTTAAAAAATTATAAAATGGAATGGTTATTCTCTACTCACTCACAATGGTTATTCTCTAACATGAATACTTGAAATTTTAATAAATAAACAACTACCGTCGGACCATATATCATTGCCAAAACTCCATCAAGGAGTTAACATTTGGAATTTTAACTATATATTAATAGTGATTATATTATAATATGTTAAATTTGCCTTTTTTCCTATTTGTACGTTTATAAAATATTATTTACTTTTATAACCATGGGTCCAAAAAAGGCAATGTCTCTTGAATTAAAACGCGATATTATTTAAACATATGAGGATGGCGAGAATGTACGAGCGTAAGACATCATAGATATATACTGTATTGAAACAGAAAGAGTTGAAGCAGCTTTCTGAGCTCTAAAAGTTTGTGGATAAAAATCACCCCAAAAATGTTGCAACATTTACAGCATTGGAACGAAACATGTCTATGTCATTGCCACAATATCACGAATGAATATGAATGAATGAATAAAGAAAAAAATTAATAAACAGTAGATTCATTTTTAACTTTATTCTATTTTTTTAATCTATATATATATATATATATATATATATATATATATATATATTCCATGAGTTATGGAATTACCTGCAGTCTTCGTTGCGTCTCGTTTTTCGTGAATGGTTGTTCTTCTAGCGGTGTTACTCTTACAGGACTTTTTCTTCTCCGTGTCAACATCACTGATTATTTCATCCTCTTTACTAATTACGATTTGTTTCGTAGCTCGGCTTTTAACAAAGTTTAATTGATTTCTGCTATTTGCAGCTTGAGCGTATTCTTTCTGCTTTCTAAGCCGTTCTTTTATGGTATCAACTGGATCGGGTGCACACGGCTTTGAAGAAAGTTTCAATTTGTCATTTGTAAATGATTTAGATTTTCTCACTTTTGGCCTGTGCTTCGGCGGTGTGTCTGATTTTTCATACATTTCTGGAGAGCTCTGTTGAATGATTTTATAATATCTTTCAATTTATCGCAAGGCAAGATTAAAATCGCACTATCGATTAATTACCAATTTTTACTTGAAAATATAGATAAAAATATGTTGCCAACTAAAAATAGCCTAGTTCGGGCACTTCTGTGGGAAAACTCTCACACTATTCTTACTTGAATCGAGTCGGAGCAGCTCAATGACCTACCTTAGGGCAGTACTACGACCCTATATATATATTATATATATTAGATATATTTACAGTGGTACCCCGACTCACGAGTGATCCGACATACGAGCCGCCAAAGAAGCGATTTGTTTCGAGCAAAATTCAAAATACGAGCTTGGGACGAGTAAGAGTTTTCTAGAAAAATGTTAGTGGCAAAAAGAAAATATGAAAAACTTCGTCAGTTGTGACTACAATTTTCAGAAATACTTCGTCTCTTTTATGATAGTAAATTATTTTGTGGTTAATCATTTCAATTATAAATATTAATATATAATTGAAATGACTAACCTAATAAAAACCTAATAAAATTAGGCAGTAACGATTTACCCTCGAATATATCTAGGATTATTTTAACTAACGAAATTTTAATTATACATTAATAGTGATTGTGCAATTATATATGTTGAGTTCGTGTTTTTTTACTTTTTATACAAAATATTATTTACTATTATAATCAATGTTCCAATGGTCCAATGGTCCAATGGTCTCTTGAAATAAAGCGTAATATTATCGAAAAATATGAGAATGGCGAGGATGTACGATCGTAACACATCATAGATATGCACTGCATTTAAACAATAAAGAGTATAATTCCAGATAAGACCCTTACAATAATTTATAAGCAGCTTTCTGAATTCTAAGTAAGTAAGAGTTTGTGGATAAAAATCACCCCGAAAAAACAGTTCCAGCATGGTAGTTGTTCAACGAAACACGTCTCATTTTCGCAAATCATGAATGGACAGACAAAAACAATAATTAAAATTAATAAATAGTATTTTGTTGGTATTAGAAAAACTCAACGAAAACCACAGTGCTGAAACAATTTTTTTTTATTTTATGTTTTGTTGACTTCCATTTATTAATATACAGTCAACCCTTTAGTTCTTATAGAATGTATAAAATACAAGTTAAAATTTAAATTTTTAAATTTTACACCTGGACTGAACTAACTATGCAAAATTGCCAAAGGCATTCATTTTGACTGTTTTTCATCGGTACTTTTTCGAGAGCAGGGCCCTGAGCTAAATCTGTGAGAAATGGCATCTAGATACTTACTTTTTACATATACTATATATTATAATAAACTTACCAAAACAGCTTCTATATGAAACTCCTCAGATTCCGAAGCCGAGCCCTTGAAAAAATGTTCTTTCGCTTCAATTATATTTTCATGAGTCGAACGAGCATCACCACTTTCACACTGTATACGGCACTGCTTATCTTGACACCTGTCGTCGTTTGTGACTTGTCTAAAACGCTCGAGGTATGATTTTGGAAAACTTTTCTTTGGTAATTTTTTCTTCATTACTTTGACCCGGACTTTTTCATTTTGAGAGGGATGATCTGTTTCGTCATTCATAGAATCAACCTCAAAACTGACGACCGAGCAAGACGATGCTGCGCTGCTTGGTGCCAAGCAGTAATTATTCTGGGGCGACGTTTGAGTGAAGATTGAGCGGTAAGGTATTTTATTTGCCTGACCTAAGTCAAATAATTTCATCACAATCCACATTCACATGTTACATAAAATATGTAAATTTTCTAGTTATTTTAAAAATGATTTATCAAAATTTGTAATTAATACGCGTATTTGAATTCATAGATACACAATAAACATCACAAATTATTTCGAAATAAAATAAAAAAGGCTTGAAACCATTAATATGTTAGAAGGGTTTGAACACCTTACGAAAGAAGCTTGAAAATTTGAACTTAAGTGGAAAAATCAACTAAACGATGACCCGCAAATGGAAAATGAAAAAAAAACAGATGATTTAAAAAGAATCATGGGTTTGTGATAAGAAGATTCACGAAAAAATATTTTTCTCCGTGGATTAGTAGTTAGAGATGAGGGATTAAAATCAGAAGATCCAAGTTCGGTATGTCCACCAAACTTAGACAGCATGATGTCAATCAGTAGTGACATCGGTATTTACTTTGAAATATAGATAGCAATATGTGAAGTAATATGCATTGGAATGAGAATAGCACTTTCTCGACATTGCTCCACGATCAATAAACAATTCATCGTTATTACAGAAATTATAATAATAAATTCATCACATAGAGATAGGATAACCGTTTGGGTTACCATCTATAAAACAACACATTTACACACACATGCACATATGCACACACACGCATATGTATATATACATATTGAAATTAATACCTTTGCGTAACACAGTCTGTAGATTTTCTTTTCCCGTAAAGTACGGTATATTTTCTTCATCCGTGGAGCAGCTGGAATGTGCAAACATTTCGTTTGTTAACGTATTATCAGCTTCCAGGTCTTCTTCTAATGAATCATAAAATTCTTCATTGATCGCATCTTCAAATTGTTCCGTTTCAGAGTCTGACATTTTTAAATTCTATTCGTTTTAAAAATAATAACTAAAAGCTATTAAGTGAATATTTTGTCAAACCGAACACATTCTCGATTTACACTTTCTATTGTTTATGCACGAACAGCTCGTCAATTTTTTTCTTCTATTTTTTTACTTATATGTCATATTGATTTTATTTTGGAACTAGGTAATTTATTATGGAACTAAGTGGCATTTTGCCTTAAGACACGTGTCGGTAAAAATTTCCCGACACGTGTAAATAATCAACATAATTAATACGAATTGAGATTTAGATATTTAGTTGAAATTTTCAATGATTTATTTTAGAAATAAAGTTTTCGCTTGTTGTTTAACCATGATGTACTCACACGCCAGAGATCTTCGGATCGAGTCCTGGCACTGTCTAAATAATAATGAATTCTAATACCAAACATGAATATGCCACCACTGCAATGTTCTTTTGATAATAAGAATAAATAAAACTTTATTGCTAAGATCAAATACATATACAGCAAATTACTAAAATACATATTCTGCAAAAACAAATTACTAAACAAAAAATGACTAAATAAGCATTATTTTTATGACTAATTAATTGCAGACAGTTAGACATGTTTCGTTAAACAATTCTGATGCTCGATCAGTTGCATCTTTTTTGGGGTGATTTTCATCTACAAACTTTTCAACTTTGTCCACATTGCACGACAAATGCACTAAACTGAAATATTTAACTTTCACTGTAATCGTATTTGAATAGATGTGCTAGAAGCTAGAAGGTATGTAAAAATCAAAACTAATGTAAAAAAGTTGAAATTGAACTGAATTTCAATTGTTCAGTTGAAATTGAATAGAAATAAATATAATTTCAAGTAATAAGAGACAATAATATAAAATTACAACTAATTTTATATAAGTTTGTAAATATTTTCATTTGATCTGTACTTGTGCTCAGTGACCCGTGACCACTTGGTTGATTTCGACTAATAAATTACTGTACGGTGTTTAAAGGGAGTTACTATGGATTCGAATATATTTGCACATTTAGTTTAATGTGGAAGAATTACAACTAGGATAATATTCAGATATGATATGGAATTGTATTACTTCATCTGTCGCGAATAATTTATGAGTTGGTTTCAACGGTTCAAAACCCATTATATCATTAACAATATATTAAAAAAATGAGGACAACGTAAAACAAAATAATACGATGAAAGAGAAAATCTGTAGAGTTGTTCTGAGCAAAGGGATGTAATATAATAACTATTAATATATTTTATAAATGTCCTCGGCTCCTGCCATGTTTAATTAATTTTGGAATTGGCAGACACCTTATTATATATTAATATATTACTTATAATTTTTCGACTTCGTAAAATTTCTAATTTCCTTTGTTTTGTGATAAATTTTGGATTATGATTTATTGGATTTAGATATATTTTATTTACCATAATATTAAATAAAGTGTCAAGTTTGCTTCAGCACAAGAAGGCTGAACTGTTAGATCAATAAAATTCGAATCAAATAGATTTATCCAGTAGCCTGTTGCATCGCATTGTCATAACCACGAAATAAAATAGTTGTTTGGAACATTCAATTTGATTAGTCAAAACAGTGTTTACCACAATTATGAATAAATAATCATATTATTAAACACATAGCATATGAGTCATGTATACAAATAAATATTTATAATAAAATGTAACTAAAATAATTAAACTAAAACTGAAGTTATTTCATAAAAAAATATTTGTTTGATATGGACAAAAATAAAGATCGCAATCATCAACACAGGGCCTGTGAGGCGACGCCTGGTGCCAGCTGTAGGTAAATAATCGCATGATTATTTATATAGATACAAAAATGAGACATTATTAATCATAATATATTTCATATGAATAAATGTCACTGCACGGCTTTATTTCTAAAATAAAAAAAATGGATTTAGATAATAAACCAAAATGTTTGTTGCATGTGCCACTAAAAAAACAGGCGCGTCTAACAACTATGCCTCTAACCATCAATATAGTAAAAAAAGATCATCAGCTAACTGTTCTTTGCAAACAATAAGGAGAAAGTGCTGATAATATATATATATATATATATATATATATATATATATATATATATATATATATATATATATATATATATATATATTTATAATAAAATAAAGTTTTCGCTTGATGTTTAACCGGATCGAGTCCTGGCATCGTCTAAATAATAATGAATTGTAAACCGAATAAATATAGAAGAAGTTTCTAAAGGGGAAAAAGAAGGATATAAAGGTTTTATTTACGTTTAATATTTACTGCTACACAATTTATAAAAGTAAATTCAATTAAAAATATAAAATGTCAATGAGTTTGAGAAATAAGCTTTCTATGGAAAGCTTACAACAATAGATTTTACCTTATTTTCGACTCGACATAGTAGTTAAAATTATTATTATTATTATTTTCTAAGTTGTTGTATTTATATTTTATTATTATTCTGCTTAATATTCAGATTTATTTTTTTGTATTTAGGTTTTAGGTTCTGTATTTTATTTTGTATTATTTTCCACAATTTTGTCTTATAAGACTAATAAGTTCTAATTGACAAAAAAAAAAGATTTTACTAGTAAACTTATAATCTTATATAAAATCTAAAATCCCCCATATTATTCTTTCTGGCAAGCAAACTGTGTATGGCCTGAAATCGTAATATGCAAATGTATATATGTACAAATCATGTAATGATTTAAAATAAAATATCACTTTCCTCATTTTCCAGACAACCCCTTTTAAGCGGTCCTCCGCCATTTCCCAAACCATGTTTTCCTGAACTAGATCAACCTACGGAAAATTTTGAGTGCTTTCAAGACGAAGAATGGCCACAACTTGTGCAGAAAGAATCCTGGACGCAGAGTATTCCGCAAAAAGATTATTACAGATTCTTCAAACCAAGTGAATCTATAGGTAAACAAAAATAAAATTATAAATTATTAAATATAATTATAAAAGTCATTTTGTAAAGCATATGGATAAAAAATGAATAATTTATAGATTGAAAATAAATATTAATATTCGTTATATTTATTTATTTTTATACTACGCTAAAGTTTTGAATATTAAATATGTATTTTATTCACATACTAGCAAACCCGACGAACTCGTTTCGCCACCAGATGGTTTCGTGAGAAAGATGAAGAAATTTTTTGTTTGTTTCATATTTGAAAAGGAAAAATTTGATTTTATTGCACAACAGTAATGAATTTATTTCGATTACAAAAATGAAGTGTTTTGTAGATGAACTTCTCTAAGTAAATGAAAGTGAATCCGCAAATTATCTGTTTCATTGAAGTACTCTTCAGTAAACCACATTTTTTGTTTTTTGTTCTGACGTTAACACAAACAAAGCGGATGGATTTCCAACTCGTGAACAGGCAACGTATAACTGCCCATGTGAAAAACAATAATTTTCTAATAATCTATTGCGAACGCAAGGCGAACTGGAAATTGCAATCGTTTGAAGTCAAACGGAAGACCAGTCGGAATCATTGGTATGTCACCAAATCGCCAGCAATGTTTGATTGAATGGTGAAATTCAGTGCGTGTACATCATTATTCTTTGCGGCAAGAATTGCTCGTTGACCTAACTAAGCATAATTCTGATAATTCTTACTAATGTCATTACTCGAATTTTCAATTACGGTGCGTGAAGTTCCAGCAATTTTCATTAAGGCACGATGCCATGCACTGTTCGTGCGTTCTGGAGTTATTTCGTCAGGAAGGAAAACCCGACTTATTTTTATATATATGTAGATATGACAGTCTGATGTATATGAAATATGATAAAATCTGAAATTAACAGTGCGTTAAAATCATTTTTGACATATTCGAATGCGAAAGCACTTACTAAATAATTTCATTTTAACACAGTTTCAAAAAATAGTTGTCCAAATTGATAATTTTTACTTAAAAGTAATGCACTAATTTAACCCTTTCGTTATGAGCTGTAAGAGCCAGTAAATCGCCCAAGTATTTGTCATAGGAAATATTTTCAAAGTTTCCAGTCATTATCTTTTAAAATATATTTCATAATTAAAAACTACACTTCTAAAAACCTAAAAACCACAATAACAAATTAGGATTCTCAATAATTTAACTGTGAATGATAAATTTTTAAGCAAAAATCGTCACATATAATGCCGTCTATAGGCGACACTTATAGCAAAAGTATTAAAATTTCTATTATGATAACAATAAATTCAAATCTAAAACTGTGACATCAGTTATATTGTATTAACAAATGTTTAAAAATATCTCAAATCGATTTCCAGGTAGCTTTTACACTCCAACCGCTCGACATTTACGAGTAGCAGGTTTGAGAAAAAGAATTAAAAAAGTTAAAAGAGGAGGTCCAATAGGTCCTGATGGCAATTTAAGGCCTCCACCAATTTGGAACGCAGAAGATAGACAAAATGCTATTGAAGCTAAATTATTACGCGAGAAACAAGTAATAAATCAATTATATATTTATCAAAATTTATGTATTAGCATAATTTCAGTAAACTCCCAAATAGCATTAACGTTTCGAGCATTATTAAAAAAATACTGGAACCTTGCAAATATTTACACTATATATCTAACATAGTTGATTTATTTAGTTTCATTATCTAAAAAATACAAAATTATATTATACAAAATAAATAATTAATATTAACTTTTTTCACTTCTATGTCAAAAAAAATTCTTTGGTTGCGAGTTGTTAAACAAAGAGAGAAAATATTATATTTCTTTTGATGTCTTCTTTAGAATTTCGTGCAGGACCAGTATATTCATACAATGTCATTCATATTCCTTCAATACCTTTCATATATTAGAGTTTACTTGCTATTTTATTATTTATTTTTTTTATAAATAAAATGCCTAAATTATGAATTTTGTAATTACTCTATATTAAATAACATTTTTTTACAGGAAGAGGCTAAAATACCCGGTGTAATATGTTTAAGGGATTTACTTACTGGAGAATATGATAAAAAACTTTCTGCTAAAAAAGAAGCAATAGAAAAACGCAAAAGAAAAATCTTGGAAAAAAGAGAGAAAGATGCAATTAAAAAAGCATTTACCGATAAAGAGTAATAATATTTTTATATTTATAAATGTAGGAAGAAGTAGTTAAATGTGGGATAAATTACTGATTCATAACTGTTATTTTAGTCCAGTAAATTTTTCTGATAAATATTATCTCTGTTGCTTGGATTGAAAGGTTTATTGTGCGTCATAAGATCATCCCATTAAGAAATAATTCTTTATAATTTCGATACAAATTATTAATAATTTATTATCAATGTAAGCTTTTCTGTAAATTCAAAAATTTGTATTCAAATGTTAGCTAATTTTCCCATTGTTATAGGTTTATTTTTATCTATTTAATAATATTTTCATTTGTTTACCAGATATTTGACATCTCTAGAAGCCGAAGAACCGGTTGATTTAGAAAAGCAAAAAAATATTATGCAGTCAATATATGAAAATGAAATTATAACATTTAGTAAACGAGAAATTAAAAGAATCAACTATTATATACTTCAGGTGAGTTGTAATTAATATGAAAACAAGAAGTAAATTGAATAGTTTTAAAAAAAGTTTATGTGGTTTAAATGAGTATGAAGTCAATATAAAATAATTTATATTCATGGATATTTCTTACATTTGACGTTCAACCGTAGAAATTGATATATGAAATGGACCTATAAATTTCAAGTATATAATTTTTATTATTTGCATTTCTCATTCAAGGGAATAGATCAACAACATTTATCGGTATTTTCTCTCAAGTATTTCAATAAAGCAGTGAAAAAGTTGTCGGAAAAACTATTAAAAGTTGGAGGAGCAGATGAAATGCTTCAGATATCAAAACAAGAACTTAGAGACGATTTTAACTATGTAATGAGATTTTGTCTGCTTAGTTATATTCTCAGGTAATGACGTCATTGCGTTTTGTCATAGTTTCAGTTACAAATTTTACACATGTAAAAAATCATTTTTTAGAGATGAAGATGAACAAAAACGTCTGCGAATACCAGGACGACCACCTTCTTGTCAACCAATATTTGTTTTGAGAAGTCCTGTGGCATGGTCAACATCCAAAAAACTTGCATCAAATCGATTGCATGAAAGATTATTCATAACTCATCCAATTGTACGAAGAGTTATAAAATTGTGGAATGAAAAGTAATTATTATCTAAAACCGTTATAAATTGAGATATTTTCGAAATCAAATCAAAGAATTTGTCCTTTAATAGTTTTCGATTTATATGTATTTTGATCATTATTAATTCAGATATGAAAACATGTTGGTCGTGGAATGGAGTAGATTAGATGAAGATATGCCTTTACCAATGTTAGCTGATGATTTGCAGAGTAAAGTAGAACAATTATGCGAAGAAAGTAGAAAAGTAAGAAATACTATTTTTACTTTGATTTGTTTATTTGGTAACCTGCTAACTTAATAAGAACTTTGAATAATTCATATAGGAACTGCTAGAAGAATGGTTGCCAGCTGTGGCGGATATATTTTTGGAATTGAGGGACACTTGGGAACACTTGGTACCATGGCACAAGTCTTGCTCCTTAGGTAATGTCCAGGCGTTATTTAATACCGTCCACGCTGTGATGGCAGCAAACTTAAGATCAATGGTTGAAAAAACATTAATCAATATATTGAAACAATTTGAAAAATATCAGGTACGATATTTGGATCTATATTTTATATCATAATAAATTACATTGAAACAAAACATAAACCTATTTCATGATATGAATATAATCAATATTATTATATTATAACTAAAATTAATAAATTTCATAACTGGATACTTCAGAGTATCTGGACAAATCATTATTCATGATTAATTTACAAAAAGTAATAAACCAATTTCTAACCAATTGTTTAAATCATTTACTGATTCATAGGGTGGCAACCAGTTTGAAGAATATCAGGATTATCTCTTCACAAATCGTCCATTAGTTATAGTTGATGGAAATGCTGATGGCATTAAAGGGAGTCTTTGCATCAAACCCACGCTCCTAGATTTATGTACTTTGATGCATAGAATTTTCCTCGAAGTTTTAGAAGTCAACAAAAATATGCCTAGAGTTGAAATGCTACTATTTCCAGGTAAGATCGATTTTTTTTCAAAAAACCATCGAATTTTAAATAAGATCAAAAATTCTTGTAAGATCTACTTCATTTTATTTAAATCATAGAATTTCAAGATAAAGACTTTTTTATACATGCCGTGAATGAGAACGAAGCTGAAATCAATGAAATCATTCATAAAGCATCTGATATAATGGAGAAAAATGTTTGCGGTCCAATATTATATTTGACACCGGTCTATGAAAAATATATGCACATTGTCCAAGGAAAACTCTTAGCAGAAATGCAAGCGTTCTTTAAAATGGACCCCTTTCCATACTTGAAGGTAAATTTGCTTAAACAATAGTATTTAAACAAGCAAATAATAATTAATTGAGATAGGCTACTTCATTTTTTTTCTCTTTACTTATGCACCTCATGATTACCTCTAATATATGTTTTTTTATTTTCAGGATTTCACAAAGTTAATTGATGGTTATACAGACATTTTACGTGAATTGAGATTATTGAGAGAGTCAGTACCATTAAATATGATAAGTTTGAGATTAACAGATATCAATCAAGCACTTATAAACACTGTACTAAGTGTTAGACAAGCAGTCGTTGATCACTTTGTTCTTGAAAATAGGACTAAATGTAGAGAGTATGAAACTATTTTTATATTTTATAATTATAAACATATTTTTGTTGTAATAATCTTATTGTTATATTCGATTGTACGTATAGTTGGAACAGCCTCATATCCCTTACTGGTCTATTGAGATCGAATTTCTTCAAATTAGATTATTTCCAGTATTTGGAATTAATATAGTAATAGTGAAAAATATATATTCAAACCATATACAAGGCACAGGACAAAGATCCATTGCATTGTGACAAATTTGACAAAATCGCCAGAAAACAGAATCTGAATCTTATTTACTATAAAACTTTCATTATATTTATTTGAATATATATCTATATCATAGACCTACCACCAATAATAATAATTATAACATATATGTTTCATTTTACAGAATTTGCGACACATTTGACATGATGTCTGATAGAGCTGGAGTACAAACAGAAACAACTCGTGAAATTGTTGAATTGAGCAATTTTTTGACCGAATGCAGAGATGTAACTATGTATGCATTAAGAGAACAAATTAGAGCTGTTGTTGAAAGAGTTATGTTCTTAATGAGGCATGCCCACCTAGTTAGTAAGTGAATTTGTCATAATTAAAAATAAATAATTATTAATATAAGTAAATTATATTATTAAATAATTTTTCAGTTGAAGACATACAATTAAATGCGCGTGTATTCCTGTGGCCGAAGGATATGGATGCAGTTTTAGATTTAAGCGCTGCCAGATTAGCCCATCGCAAGGAACAATGCGAAGCTTCCTTGAAGTGAGTAAAGTATATTCTAATTTCAAGTAATTTTTACTCAATTTTAAATCAAAAATTATTTTTACTTTAATTTTCATTTAATTTAATTTTATTCAAAATCTTTTATCTAATTTTTACCATATGAAAGAAATAACTTTCCTTACTTTTTCAAAACCTGTTTCGAATTCAAATTAAAAATATAAAAAATATAGTTGATATTGATATAGTGATGATATAGTTGATATAGTTTAATGTATAGTGTAAATTTATTCAAATTTTAGCTTAAATAATAAGTTGCACATAGTTCAATTACATATAATTTTCCATATAATTACTGTAATAAATGAATATACGAACATTTTAGAACGAGGCGACGCGCTTTTGAAAAAAAATTAGAACGCCATAAAAAAGAATTGGACGCTTTTAAGAGAAGAGATCCTCCTTTGTTAAGTATGGAAGAATTAATAGAAAGTACATCATTGTGTGAAAGGATATTAACAAAACTTGCTGTAAGCTTAAATTATATATACATATATTTAAGAACACGAAAACAACTTGTGTCGCATTAAATAGGAAATGTAGTCTTCAGAACTGGCCAATAGAATTACTTAATCAATTACAATTGTATATATGTTCTTTGTAACTCAGTAGTTTAAAATTTGGAAAATGCTATTTTTTTATTGTAACAAACATATTTCTATGCTACATGTATTTGCATTTGCAAAAAATAATTCTTATAAAATTGATATAAAACTGAATTCTTCACAAAACTTGTTATCTTACGTTTTGGCTCCAAAACGTAGAATGAGTATTTTAGAAAATATCTGCCTGTAAGCAAAAGCTGCAAAATTTCTTATTGATATTAAGTAAATTTGCAATAAATAACGTATTTTATATATTAAATATTTATTTATTTATTATTTATTAAATTATTTATTAAATATTCCTAATTTTAGGAAGATAGAGAAGAGGCGTCTGGTATCAATGAAGAAGAAGTTTTATTAGATTATGAACCTTCAGCATTTGCTCTTCTTACAACTATGGTGACGGTTATTGAACCTTTTGATAGATTATGGCATACTGTATTGGAATTTCATCAAAAATATGATGTTTGGTAAATTTCTATAAAATAAAAAAAATGTCTATTAGTGAATGGCATCGTGCTTTAAGGCAAATTGCGGTACTTCTCTGGCAAATTGCTGGTACCGTAATTTAAAATTTTTAAAAGCACAGATGAAAATTGTTTTTTAAAATGTACCAAGATATGCAAAAATTTTTCTTTTTGGATTGTTGAACGATTAATATAACTTACCCTAATATGTTATACAAAAAATTGTCTTAATTGCAAGATATTGGAGAAGGCATAAAATTGCATTCCTTTTCTTCTTATTGCATTCATTCAAGCAAATGACAAAATTCTTTTAGATGGTAAAAATAGTTTTTACACATGCCAACCAATTTAAACCAAATATTTAAATAAATTTAAAACCTCTTTTTGCTCAATAACAATTACTTACAGTAATCATTATTGTGCTGGTGCTGTACAAGCTAATTCCGAGTTAAAATTTAATAGAATTTAATGAAAATATCTTTAACATTTTACTTTAAACTTGTTGGATCATTCCCCACGAATGAAACAATCATAAAATATGTTTAATATTGGTTATATTAATTAAAATTATACTGTAAAATATTACAATAAAATTGTTATCCATAGGTATTATGGTTCATTTAAAAACCTAGAAGCTGACCAGGTGAAAGAGGAATCTGAAACAATGTGGCGCACATTATACAAGTTATCAAAAGGATTTCAGGTATATATGTACAAGCATATTAAAAATCCAATGTCAGTTTTAGATTACAATAATAAATAATTACTAAATAATATCTAATCTACGTAACTCATCAAATTTTAGGACAGTCCTGGAGCAAGACGAGTAGCCGATATGGGAAGAGTCAAAGTTGAACGGTTTAGAACATTTATGCCTGTATTAGAGTCTATTTGTAATCCAGGCATGAAGGATAGACACTGGGAGCTTGTAAGTATATACCTTGGAATTACATTATGTCCTGCATCATTAACAGACATAGACAATCGGTATTTAATAAAAATGTATAAAATTTTGTTTTATTATGAAGATAATTTTATAGCTCCTATATTATTTGAATTGCTAGGAGTATGCTTTGTTATTACGGTACAATTTTTACAATTCATTTTTTCTAATTCATATGTTGACGATGCCTGCCATAGCCTAAATTTCACCCTTCGAATTAACATATAATTGTAAAAATGTATGACTATTGTGTATGTATAGAATGATGAAAAAAATAGCTTAATAAAAATATTGAAAATTTACATTTTTGAGAATTCGGTTTGAATTTTGTTTGAATATTGTCAATTTGTTAGCAAAGTTCGAAAAAAGTGAAGCAGCCAAATTTCTACCTCATTTATGTGAAACTTCTTTTTTTTAACTAAACTGATATGATTAAAATTCTTTCTACATAACTTCTAATGTGCTGCACTTTTCACCTTTTTTTACTCTAGGTCAGTGCAGCTTTAGGTGCAGAAGTTAATCCTGAAGAAATTACATCATTAGCTGGTATGATAGATATTGGATTACCAAGGGTGACCGATAAATTAGAAGAAATAAGCAATTCGGCAACTAAAGAATTTGCTCTGCAACGTGCGCTGACGAAGATGAAAACCGAATGGAGCGAGGTTTATTTTGAATGCATCATGTACAGGTAGATAATTTAATTTATTTTGATCGTTTTCATTTCCTTTCTTTCAAATTATGCTCTTATTGTAAAAATTAAAACTCTGACTTTGTTTTTTGAGTTTTAAGAATTGGAATACTGTGTACGCAATTGAGAGATTTGAAAGTCGGTACAATTTAAAAATATTTCTAAAGTTAAGTTTCTAAATTCTTGTCAACTATCATTCATATTTAAATGGAGCAAAGAAATGGACAAAATATAATTAATTGCATATCATTCCTTGTTGAGCATTAAGATCTCTGTAACTTGAAGGTGATTGATAAATAATCATCAATCACCCTGGATTGCTAAAACACAATTTTCATTAGGTTAATTATAATTAGGTGAATGTCTGCCATAACCAGATCGATAAAAATTTATCTAAGATATGACAACCATGAAGAAACTGCTCAATTTCAAAATCTTAATTATCTGAACATTTTGTATTTTTTAAGTCTATTTTTATACCTACAATTTTACTTGTTATCCTTTCAGGAGAGGTGTAAAAATTATTGTTTAATAATAATGATAATGAAGATACCGCGTCCTAAACTAAACGTAAAGATTATCTATTTTAAATCCATTGACCAAAATAAAATAAATATCAATACATCAAAGTAAAATATCTCATCATGCATTTATTTATAAAAGTTAATAAAACTGCGTGTAGATACGCAATAGTTATATCAATCCATCATCAAAGTACTGTTAAAATACAATATTAAATTAATATCAAAAAATAGATAGATTAATCGATAAAAAGATGTCACAAAAGAAAGTTCTCGTCAATATGTATATCAATACTATTTTTTTTATTATGTGACAAAATTGAGTTCCGTGAGATTCATAAAACTCACTATGATAAATGGCCTAAATGAGTTCTTGGTTTCAATTATGCATTTTAGAAACAAAATTTTAATTATAATAATTAAAATTTTCTAATTCAAGTGTATTTACTCATTACTAGAGATACAAATTGTTCGATTTTATCGAGTTTAGAAGATATTCAAACACAATTGGATGACCATATTTTAAAAGCTCAAGCCATGAGAGGATCACCGTATATAAAAGCTCTAGGTCGCCTGGCTTATGACTGGGAAGAAAAATTAGTTAATATGCAGGACATATTAGACGCTTGGTTATTGGTATGAAATAATTACAATAGTTTCATCTTAAAACCATATCTGTATTACACTAGTTTAAAAGTAATTTATATCACAATGATGATCTACAATTAATATTTTTTATATTATTCAGTGCCAAGCCACATGGATGTATCTAGAATCTATATTCAGTTCGGAAGACATCATGAGACAAATGCCAACGGAGGCCAGAAATTTCAAACAGGTGATTAGTATTTATATGCAATGACCAATTAAATTATATAATGATATCATTTATTTTAATGTTGAAAAACTAGGTTGACAAGAGTTGGAGGGATATAATGGCAGCCACCACTAAAAATCCTCATGTATTAACTGCTACAGACTACCCAAATCTTCTAGAAATTTTAAGAAATAATAATGTAATGCTTGATGGAATACAGAAAGGTCTAAATGATTACCTCGAAAAGAAGAGATTATTTTTCCCAAGGTATACAAATTGTATTAAATTAAGTACTGTTTGATATTACCATGATGCAAATAAAAAATTTCAGAAACATTTTATAGCAGTAAAGTGTTTTTGGCAATATAAAAAGTAAATAACTTATAAAAATAATAACCGATATCAAATATTGTTGTTAGATTTTTCTTTTTATCCAATGACGAATTATTGGAAATATTGTCGGAAACAAAAGATCCCACACGTGTGCAGCCTCATCTTAAGAAATGCTTTGAAGGTATCGATAAACTAAATTTCAATGAAGAAATGGAAGTTGAAGCAATGGTTTCTGCTCAAGGAGAAATTATCAAATTAAGTGGAAAAATTATTCCAGCAGATGCTAAGGTAAGATATTTTATTGGCAAATAATAATCAAGCGTTATATATTTATCTCCGTCGGAAGATTTTTTTCTGTTTTATGCAGTCATATCCTTTCAAAGGTTCTTGTTGTTAAAATTTGTGGACCTTCATTTATAGAGTATATAGCATACAACAGAATGGAACTATTAATTAATTATTATTAAATATTGACCACTAAATGAACTTCAATGGTGTTTTTAATATAACTAAACATCATCACAATTGAAATATGTACTGTACATATTTTTCCGATGCGATTTATATCAAAGTTACTTGCTTCTTAAAAATACTTAGCTTTTATCAAATTTTAAATAATAAAAATGGATAGTACAAAAGCTCAAAAGTAGCAAGCAAATAGCAGAAATTTATGATAGTGATTGATAATATTATAGTAGATACAAATCTTCTCATATTCGTCTTTACTAACAGTAAATGATAAAATTTTATATTAATGCAGTATTTATATTTTACCCTCACTTAAGGGATTGGTAGAAAAATGGCTTGCCCAAGTCGAAATTCAAATGATAAATTCCCTAAAGGACGTAATGGAGGCTGCGGTATTAGCATACTCACCAGAAGAAAGAGCCGAATGGGTTCTAAAGTGGCCTGGTCAGATCGTACAAGCTGGCGATTGCATTATATGGTCAGCTGAGGTATTTACTTTTCACTTTTTTAGTTTACATCGCAACTGAAATAATATATTATCTAAGAACAACCGATTAATAAGTTACACACTTCACGAAGATTTTAGTGCATGTATTATTTGATAAAATAATAAAAATATTTATCTTATTTTTTACATATCTGTACAGGCAAGTGAAGCTATTGAAAAAAATAGCTTGGTAGAATACGTTGAGCTTTTAGGAACACAAATAGCTGAAATAGTTGTTTTAGTGCAAGGCACCTTAACTCGCAATACTCTAGCCACTGTTGAAGCTTTAATAGTATTGGACGTGCACGGTAAAAATAGTCACATAAATTAAATTGTTTGATTTTTACTTAACTAATAATTCATATATTTTTATCAAGCTCGAGATGTGACTTGCCTTCTCCGTGACTTGCATGTGCAGTTTGTTGGAGATTTTCAATTTTTGGCACAATTCCGTTATTATTGGGATAAAGAAACCAAATTGGTTGAAACCAGAATGGTATCTACAACAGTGATGTACGGTTTTGAATATTTAGGAAATGTTGGCAGATTGGTTGTAACACCTTTAACAGACAGGTGTTTCAGGTAAAATTGAGTACAATAAAATTCTTAAACGACTAGCTCAAGAAACATATGTTTGCATAAATTACAGGACTCTTATGGGTGCTCTGAAATTAAATTTAGGAGGAGCTCCTGAGGGTCCGGCTGGTACTGGCAAAACAGAAAATGCAAAGACTTGGCAAAAGCTGTTGCCAAAAAGTGCGTTGTGTTTAATTGTTCGGATGGGCTTGACTATAAAGCCTTAGGAAAATTCTTCAAAGTAATGTTTACATCATTATCTTACAATTAAAAAAATCTATTTGCAAATCACAATAATAAATAAGACCCAATTCCTTCATTAGGGTTTAGCTCAAGCTGGAGCTTGGGCATGTTTTGATGAATTCAACAGAATTGAACTAGAAGTACTTTCTGTAGTAGCCCAACAAATTTTATGCATTCAACGCGCAATCACAGCTAAGCTGGAAAAATTTGTTTTCGAAGGTACTGAATTGTTCTTGGATCCCACGTGTGCTGTGTTTATCACTATGAATCCAGGGTAAATTAAAATAAATCGCACCTAAAATTAATGCACAAGAATCCAATTATGTACATATTGTAATATTTTATTTTGATAATGTTAATACTTTATGATCTTAAAAGTATATATTTTGAAAACGAAATTCTATTCCGACAGAGCCGTGTAAATAGAATTCAAGCTTTCATTATAATCGAAAGAGATAAAATAGTTTTTAATATAAAATTTACTAACATCAATGCACAAATCATCAAGATAATAAGAATCCTATTGGCAAAAAAATTGAAGCGATCTAAAACGATAAATGAAACCACACAATATATTTTTTAATATTATTATATTGCATTCGCATTGTTCTGTTAGAACCAAATTATAACTTTCAATTTGTTTTGAAGTTGAAATGTTTTCTTCACTGTGGAAAAATGTGCTATAGGTGTAATAATAGTATTTCTAACTCAATCAAGATTAATTCAAATGTTTTTGAATATTCAGTTATGCGGGTCGTCAAGAACTACCAGATAATTTAAAAGTACTTTTCCGGACAGTGGCTATGATGGTGCCTGATTATGCAATGATTGGCGAAATAACATTATACTCTAATGGTTTTGTTCAAGCTCATAGGTTCGTAATTAATTTTACGCTAAATGAAATGAATTAGTTATTTTAGCATCGACAGCTTTGTCTCGTTTCATAGATAAAGCATTTGTTTTGCTTCATACACTGCACAATAACGAATCTTTCATTTAAAACTGGTTAATACCAAATTAGCATTATTGTTGTCATATTGTTATTTTTAGCCTATTTGTCTATCTAGTTTATCTTATGTTTAACGCATAAGTAATAGATCATATTTTTATCATTATTGATAACAAATTGTTTCACTGCAATATAAAGCTTAGCTCAAAAAATCGTCGCAACCTATAAACTTTGCTCCGAGCAACTTTCATCTCAAAATCACTATGACTACGGAATGAGAGCCGTGAAATCAGTACTTCTAGCATCTGGTGCTTTGAGACGTGCTTATCCTCACATACCAGAAGCCAAACTTGTGTTAAGAGCTATTGTGGATGTAAATTTACCCAAATTTTTGGCTCAGGATATATCTTTGTTCGAAGGAATTTATTCAGATTTGTTCCCTGGTGTTGAGCTACCTCAGGTATAATCTTTCAAGCAAAATTCATTTCATTTCCAAAATCGTTACTTATAATTTAACGTATAACTATTTCAGCCTGAACGCGAAGATTTGATAAGAACATTAGGTACTGTTTGCGAAGCTCGTAATTTACAAAATACATTTTGGTATGCAGAGAAAATGTTACAGGTAAGAAAGACTGGTAACAATTTTTCTCACACTTTAATTGATAAATTATAAACGTTCTTTATCACCTTCATCATCTTCTAAACAAAATATTTTTTTGTATGCTCAAAAGCTTAATTATGTAAAATAAAAATCATGAATCAAAGTCAGAACAAATATAGTAAATTTATCGATAAAAAAAATCAACTTTCTAAAGAAACAGTTCTAATTCAAATCACATTTTAATAATATTTTTAACTATTTTTGTAAGAACTATTATAAAATTGTGATTATTATAAAATTTTTTATTTAGCTGTATGAGATGATTTTGGTGCGTCATGGTTTGATGATTGTGGGCGATCCTTTAGGAGGAAAAACGTGTGCTTACCAAAATTTAGCTTTGGCTTTGAAAGAAATTCAATTGCTTGAAGCAAAGAGTAAAATGAAGGAATTTCAAACAATTTTTAGGTACCAAACTAATATTTTTTTAAAGTAATGGAAAGAAAATTTAATATTTTTATTTAAACAGAATAATAAACCCAAAAGCAATTACTATGGGCCAACTGTATGGTTGTTTTGACCCAGTGTCTCATGAATGGACAGATGGAGTACTAGCAAATACTTTTCGTGAATTTGCTAACTCAACTTCTACAGAGAGAAAATGGATTTTATTTGATGGGCCCGTCGATGCTGTGTGGATTGAAAATATGAATACGGTGTTAGATGACAATAAAAAATTATGTCTTATGTCCGGAGAAATTATTCAAATGAGCGGTAAAATGAATTTGATTTTTGAGCCAGCTGATCTCGAACAAGCTTCTCCAGCCACTGTTTCGAGGTGAGTAATTTAAATAAATTACTTTATTATTTACTAAAAACCAATGTTTAAAATATAATATAATTTTTATATTCATTATACAGATGCGGCATGATTTTTATGGAGCCTAAAATGTTGGGATGGGTTCCGTTAAAAGACTCATTCAATAATATTTTAGCGAAGAAATTAATACCAGAACAGTTCGAAATTTCAGATGAAATCATGAATTGGCTAATACCTGCCTGTCTTAGTTTTGTTGCAAAATGTAAAACTTTTGTTCAAACTTCACCTATGCATCTATTTGTTGTAAGTAAACGTGAAATTGAACGTTTTAAAATATAAATTATTAAAAAATATGAAGTCCACAAAATTGTTTCAAAAAAATATTTGTATTTTTAAAGTCAAAGACCATTTTTCATTGTAGTATATTTTGAAAAATTTGTAAATTGAACGTATAGTATTATATTAATCTATACAATACTTAATAATACTTAAGAATCACCTGAAGTTATCAAAAGTATTTAAGTTATATACTATTCACCAAAATAATAGCATTGAGAGAATATTAATTGTAGTGTTATTAGCAGAACCCTAACAAAGCAAATTTAATATATCTAATATAATAATAATAATATAATAATAATATAATATAATATAATATTTTCTATAATAATAATTTTATATTCTATTCAAAATAATAAATACGATCACAATCACTTTAATTTTTAGTCCTTCACGAGACTCTACAGTTGTTTATTAGAAGATGAATCTCAAGTTGCCACAGTTTGGTTACAATGTGCTATACTCTTTAGTACAGTGTGGGGTATTGGAAGTACATTAACAGGTGATTTTAGTAATTATATATATATATATATATATATATATCGTAATCTAATTGTTTACTGATTGTTTATATATAATTTAATTACAGCTGATAGCAGAGTCTTGTTCGATGACTTCTTTCGACGTCTATTAGCGAATCAAATTGAAAAATATCCTAGATGTGATTTGTTCAAATTGGCAAAAAATCAATTATTTCCAGATCGGGATATAGTATTTTCATTCCAGTTGACTAAATCAGGGCAATGGGCACCTTGGCTAGAAGGAGCATCGCCGGCTCTACCTCCAAATGCAAGAGTAAGTTATTTCAACTTATGACTGTATATATACACACACATTTTTATGTGCTTTATGGAAAATCTATTATATTTGTATAATTAGACTACCATATATCTAGTCACTACAGCATAACTTAACGAAGTTGTGATTGGATTAAACTGAACCAAACTCAGATAGCACCAAGAAAGGACTCGGTGCGATCAAGAATTTGATTTGCTCTAATTTTGCTCTCTTTTATATAAAATTTCAGTTCTTTTGAACTAAAAAGATTCTCGAATGATCTTAATGAGCCTGTAAAAGATTTTAAAAAAAGTCCAAGGTGGTTAGAAGGAGTTGAATTACTAACACGTACACAAGAAACATATCAATATTTCTAATATATTATATATTAAATATCAAATTATTTATATTTGAATATATAAATCAAGTTAAAGTGTCTTTATTCGACGCTGCAAGATATTATAACACATCGAAAAATCAGTTCATTAAAACGTCCAGAGACTATTTTCATTATATCACTAGCTGTACCCGTTCACGCTTTGCCGTGATTTAGTATTAAAAGTTAAACAAATGCATATGTGTATTTGTTACATTTAGTTTAACGTTACTACTGTCTAATCAACAATTTACCTATTCAACAATTTATCTACGAATTTACCTATAAACTTGTTAATCAATCTATCATTTTACCGACTTACGAATTTACCTTTCAACCTATTTACCTATCAACCCGTTTCACATGTCTACCAATTTTCCTGTCAACCTGTTTATTCGTCTTGTTATTTGTCTACCTACCAGATTTCCTGTCTACCATTTTACATATTCTCAAGCTATCCAACAAATTACCTTTTCACCAATTTACTTGTCTACCAATTCACCTGTCTATCAATTTACCTGTCTACCAATTTACATATCGACCTGTTTATCCGTACACCATTTTAACTGTCAACCAATTTACCTGCTTTCCAATTTACCTGTCATCCCGTTCTAAATGTCTACCAATTAACCTGTTCAATAATTTACCTGTTGAACAATTAACCTGTTTAACAATTTGTCTACTAATGTACCTATCAACCTGTTTATCAATCTACCATTTCACCGGCCTACAAATTTATCTCACATCCTGTTCTACATATCTACCAATTAAGCTGTCAACCTGTTTATTTATCTACATATTCGTCTATCTACCAGTTCTTCTCTCTACCATTTTACATATCCTCCAATTTACCTGTCCACCAGTTTACCTTTATAAATTCTCTAATTCACCTTATTTATTT